AGCAGGCCTCTGTCTCCACCGTGACTTTGGACAATTTTCAGAATAACTTTTTCGAACAGCTTGTCTGTTGCAGACAAGAGATTAATCGGACGTGAATTTTGAGGGATTCTGCGCTCCTTGACGGTTACTGATGACGTTGCAAATTGCGCTTCCTTCCACGTCTTCGGAAATTGGGAGAGCCGAGGGCAGTGACTAAACAAATGCGCTATATAGCCCAATAGACTTCCTGGAAGATGCCTGATGCATTTGTTTGGAACAGAATTGAGTCCAAAAGCCTTCTTCAGTTTCAATGAATTTGCTAAATTATGCGTGTTACAGGGTCTTACCTTCTCCAAGGGGTACCGGCTGCAGGTGCGAGAGGAGCTTGGACTGTAGTCTCCACCTGTCGATCGTGGTTTGCCTTAACTGGTTTTCTAAATATTGCGCAATCGCATTGACTCTCTCGTCCGAGTGATACGTCACTCTCCCATTGTTGCGTGTGCTCTCCTTGCAGGGGAAACAGCGTGACTCGCTCTGCCATTTATGTCAAATCGACGTAACTTCTCTTGACAGCTGAAGCCGCGTCCTCGACCTTGTTCTGATAGACCATGCTCATGACGGAAGAGTTTAACTTGATTATTCCCATCATCCTCACGTCATCGACTGTAAAGTGCCAACTGGACCTTCTGCCGTGCGCTGTTTCCGCATCGCTCACCCCCCCCCCCATCATGACCAAAAGCGTGTTGGCGCACCAAGAAGCATACATATCTTCTTATTGGGATTTTTGACAAATTACAATTTTATACTAAAAAAAAATAATGTGACATATACATCCATTACTACGCAACGACCGCAAAATAAGGAATTATATAACAGCCGTGGCTCTGAAAACAATGTCCGTTGTTTGGCAATGGCTGAGCAGCGATCAGGTAGGCAATCCAACATACACGAAAGCAACAACCGCACAGCAACAGAGATACTGTGTTTTCGGTGCGGTCCGCGATAACTTTTTCTAAGCAGGGACAGTTAGTGAGGTATATATAATCGCTGGGGTTCACTTGCTGTGAGCTGCTGCTTTAAGAAGCTGATAGTTCAGGCCATGTGCAATTCGGTAACGTCCACCGTTGGAAGCCGCTACCTAACAACGGCTAGTGAAGACTGTAAGGACAGAGGAGACCTGGTGCGTCCTGTAGTGGATATGTGTGAAGTGTGTAGAACCGTGAGAGCATCATCATTATCTGTAGTTACGTTCTGTAAGAGTTCAATATATCCGATTATCAATCAAAAACTCGTCTATAGTCACACTTCATAAAATGGTGACAATATTGTTTGTGGACGTTACAAGAAGTTGATGGCTACTTGAGGTGCAGTTTGTTTTCCCCATAAACCTGTTAACTGGGCCTCCAACTCATCTACATCTAGTGCCGAGGTCAACAGTGGTGGAGATGTACTTCCACACCCCCATACGCCTTCATGGCATAGTGCTTAATTAATCAAGCACAGGGACAACTTTACCTTTTTATATACTATTTCATTAGAAAAGTCACAAGACAGTAACGCTTATGCGCAAGTGCCAAAATCTGAGGCGTGCTACATGCCCAGTCCTTCTCACCCTCTCTGTTTTGGTCGATTGATTGGTTGATTTATGACGTCACTATCTACACACAGCTGCCTATCTCTCTGATATCGATTACATCTACCAGACTGCACGGCGTAAGATCCCCAAAGACTGTAATCTTCATATGTATCTATATTATGGGAACAGACTGTGAGGGTGCGCCAAATTCATTTGGCTGAGGGCACAGCCCAGTGGCGGGCTCTTGTGAACATGGTAACGAACATTTGGGTTCCATAAACGCGAACGTTTCCTGACCAGATGAGCAACTGCTAGCTTCTCAACTCTTGATTCATGTAACCCTCGGGTGGCTGTGTTCTGAACTGCTGCGGCCCCTCTGTGAACTGCGGGGCACTAGCAGACTTGGCCACACACAATTTCCCGAAGGCAGAGTCTAAGCAACTCTTCCCTCACAAGGACTGAGCAAGTTGTAATGCCTGTCTATCCCCAAATCTTTCCAGTTATACCAAAATACAGCAAATAAACGGCTGAAATAGCCTGCACCTGCAATTAAAGGCAGGTAACAACTTCGCAATTTCCTCATCGGTCTAAATCAGAGCCATAGAGCATGCGCAGAAAAGCTGTAAGAGCCGGCAATGCAAATGTTGAGTACAAGATTTGCAGGATAAATAAACTTACTAATGGACTAAAATTACATAAACAGAGACACTTAAAATGTTCGTAAGAAGACGCAACTTCAAAGAAATTATTAGCTTAATTAACATAGGAAATACCTGACTACAGGCCAGGCAGCTGCATCAAGGCCTTCCGGTCTCCTCAAATGACTCCAATCAATAAAAATAGTTTGAAATACAAACCAAAGAAGACAGATAAGCAACTGGCACTTCATAAAGTTGGCGCCACAAACTCTAAACATAGCCGGAGGTGTCCAACGACCCACACTTAGGTTGGTCTGAAAGCTTTCTCAGGTCGGGGAAAACCCGAAACCCGTCAATAATAATAATAATAATAATAATAATAATAATAATAATAATAATAATAATAATACATTGTGGGCAATATAGACCATGATGAACCGTGGCCTCTGCTTTGCATTTTCTTAATATATGGACATTTGGTAGGAATCCTTGGGCTGGGGATCAGCTCGCCGCAAGGCCGCTATCTACACAGGAAAACAGAGAAATCGCAGAAAAACGTGCCTCTAGGGGAGTTCAAACACAAGACCCCAGTGTGTGAGCAGGCAAAGACAGTTCATGTCTTAGCGTGGCCACTGTGATCAGCAAACTTGTTATTAAGAAAGATAAATACATATATAAAATAAAATTGCGCATTTCGTCAGCGCATGGGCGTCTGACAGTAGAATTCTGTTCGTCCCCTCCAACCGTGTAGTCATAAGACAACGGCGCGGAGATGTGACTCCTTGCATTCCTTCGCGACCTACTCGACGACGCTGTCAGTGTCTCGATTGTATCGCGAGGAACAGATGGAATGTATCTGTATAGCGGATGTGGCCTACTGGGTGAGGCATCGCTGCAGCTTCCTGCAGGGACTGAGGAGAGCTAGCAGTAACACAGCTGGGTGACTGGTTAGCCTGTACTCTTATACTAGTATATCGCCTGTTAGTTTAAATCGGGGGCGGATCCCACGTTAAATAACAACAAAATCGATTTAAGTTTTGAGGTTTTCACGGCGATGACTATGAAGAAAGTCGTCTTCTGGGATCTGGCGCCGTGTATTCTTGGTTTTAACCGACGTTTCTGAGAAACATATCGCCTCCATCTTCAGGGTAGTTGAGTTGCGTGCGAATACAGATAGCTGTAGCTGCTACAGCTACCAAGAATACACGGCGCCAGATCCCAGAAGACGACTTTCTTCAACGACAAAATCGTTTTACACTATCTCTGTGGTTCACATATATTCCGTGACCCACTGTGCGTTTCTCAAAAATCGCCTGATAATGGCCTATCTGGACCGAAACGTCTTGTGAACTGACTGATAGAAGCATCTATTTGTGTGAGGGCAACCCTTCCATTCGTGACTGCAAGCACGCAGCAGTACACTACTATACACGTATGTCTGAGTTCTCACTGAATGAAAATAGCGTTAGAGAGAGACAACAGTGAAATCTGAGGTTTTCACTGGGGTAGAAGGGGGGGGGCATGGAGATCATGTAGGGTGTAGTATGTTACAGACTTTTACCAGCATTTCGGTGGACATTCCTGTCTCCTTCTTCGGGATAGAAGAGTAACTCGAGGGCTTTCTGGTCAAGTGGAACTGTGGTGGATAAAGTGGCGCTGGGGCGGGTTTCCTTCGAGTACTTCGGTTTCCCCTGCCAATCTTCATTCCACCAATTGCTCCATCATCATAATCACGCGGCGCAGCTACAATAGGCCAATCAGTGGCAGCCTTGCCGAGTGGACCCAATTGGATTCCACCCGCCACTAAGAGAATTAAATTAATAATTAACTCGAGGGCTTAAAAATTGGCACGGAAATGAAGAAAGACTTTGGGTCGGAGAACACCGGAGCCTTCTTCTTCTTTATTCCTCCTATGGCCTATTTTTATTTATTTTGCTATTTCTCTCCGTCACCTCTTCATGTTCCTTCCACAATTTTTCCGTGTCAACAGACTCCTATCAGCGTTCTGTCTCCCACTACCTCGAAGCAGGACTTCTGAAATGTTACCGTTTCCTAACCCCACCTTCCGTTGCTTCATTCTGAGCCACTAACTATTCGCGTCACTGCTCTCGAACCACGGTCCACTGAATGACCAGCAGACCCGAGCGTTACGCTGTCCCACATTGTTACTGGCTCGGGTCCGTGACTTTTCCCCGAAGAAACGTGGGGTGTAGCTGCGTGAGGAAGTAGGAGGCTCGCGTCGGGAAGGTCACATGTCATAGCAACGGCAACAGAGGCTGCAGCGAGCGCTGATACAGCCTGGGGACAGTGGAGTGCATCCGGCGTGTCTGCTTCCTCTTCCTCTCAAGGCATCTCTGGCCGGTAGGCGAGGCGTCATCACGCAAGACAGGAAGACACAGTACCTGTCAGGACAGGCTGCAAGACCTCGTCACGAGCCCCAACAGGGGCTCACGGACCGTGAGTAGTGACAGGATTTAGCTTTGGATTCTTCGCATAGTTGTACAATGATGATGGATGCAGCAATTTCACCCGAAACATCGAGACCTATCCACCAAAATCTCTGCCAGACGACACTAGTATCCAATATAAAACTCGCTTGATCTCCTGTGTTGTATTTAACTGACATTTTTTTTTTGCAAAAATATATCTGGGCGTGGCTCATTTAATTTTTATTTGTTTCGCGGAACTTGGTGCGCGTACACACTCTGGAGATGCTAATTGCTCTTGTATCCGTGACTCGAGGCATTTCTGCGAGGGCGCACGTCGCTCAAGGCTGAACCTCATCGCCTATATATAAGACAGACGTTGCTTCCGGTCGCGAATATGTCAGAGGAACGAACATGTCCAAGTTAAGCATCTTCTTCGCAGTGTGCGCTGTGGTCTGCCAGAGCGAGGCCCTCAAACTGCGTAAGTAACTTCTGGCTGGCGCGCTCCCTCCAACCTTGAGAGCACGCAGCCTCATAACTATGAGACTTATGGGATAAAGCGGTCGAGGTGTGAAGCTGATAATTTACATCCGTCTCACAATGGCGTGGTGCTTAGGCACAGAGACAACTTCGTCTGTACAGTTATAAGTCCTCATTTTCAATTGGAAGTGATTAATCTGTTCACCCAGTGGCACTGGCCATCTGCCTTGGTCCGCTGAGTATTTTGATGGGGGTGCGGCGTGGTCGGACTGAAGTCAAATTTTACTTATTTGGACGTCAGATGTAGATAGTGAAGCTACGCTGCAGTTTTGAGGCAATTCTATCTGCGTATTTTCAGCAGACACATTCAAGCCTTATGCCAGCGAGTCAGCACTTACGAATCGCTATTTCAGTTATGTCTGGCCACTAAACACGTGGGAAAACGTGCCACATAAAGTAAACGTATCATTTAAATCACAGAAGCAATCTTATCAAGTCGACACATGTTTTGCGTCGCGTAAACGTATAGTCTGCAGCTGTGGTTTGTACTGTCACGTGTTGAGGTTTGCGCGTGACTTGTGGACGTGTTTTGGACTCGATGACTCGATTTATTGACACTCAATCAGCAACTACAGATAATACAGCGCTACTGCTGATCTACACACTAGGGTTCTAAGTCTTCACGCTCCACTAGTCATATCCTGACAACGGATTCATAAGTCTGTCACTTCAAAGTTTTCTTTGCGCCGCATAATTCTGCAGCTGTCAGTTCTGAAGACTCGATTCAATTCAATTCCTCTGCTCCCACGCTAATAACCTGGAAGGCTGGCGTCTCGAAACTAGACTCAATTCTTCTCAACTGAACTCTTCTTTATAACTACGTTGCAAGGATCACTCAAAAACACAGCTTCTGTATTGTTGGGAAGTAGTGTTTACAGCGCCGTTGCATACAAACAGAAGTTATTCGATTGTTGCTGTCGTATTTGTTGCCACAGGAATGTGTTTTACCGAGAAGCTGCCTAATAATATATGTCTCCTCTGATTTCACTATTCCGGCTTTCGGGCGTCATGTCACAATGCCGTGCGGAATTTTCAGACACTTCTGTGCTGAGTTGACAACCATCCGTAACAGTGCTCGCATCAGCTCTGAGGCTCACTGAAGCTGCCCTATGTCTCCTGCTAGCGCACCAGACAAGGGTCACGAGGCCCCGAGCCACGTGTTCATAACCCGTAGCGACTGTCTCCTGCCCACAGATAGCAACTGCGACTGCCTGGCACAAAGAGGGTGCCAAGTTCCACCGCTTCTTAATCGCCTCGTTCAAACGAACTTGCCGCATTTGGAACAAGGCGCTCCTGCCACAATTTCTTAATTCCATGAAGGATAAAGCCGACTACAAACTCGCCAACATGACCTGATGTTCAGTAGAAGCTGCATTCTGAGCATTATTCTGTGACAAAGTAAAACAGTGTTTGATGTCTCACTCTGCAGGCATGACGCAAAATTTCGGGTTCATTACGCAATTTTTATTTCAACTTATTAATATTCAAAAGTGTTTCTCTAAATATTATTTCATAATCGCAATTTCTATCTATTAAATATTAACTGCACTCAAGGCACGTGTATACCCGCCCTCTCTTGGCGTGGCTTCACCAGAAGAACTGTTATTAGTGGCCATGTTTCGTCACCTCTTTGTCTTGCATGCTTCATGTCCCTGAACAGACACGGAGTTCAACTGGACTATGAGCCCTAAACATCGGAGGCTGCAACATGTGTGCCTCCCCTTCGCGCAGTCGGTGTTCTTGTGTTATCTGCGCCCTGGCGACAACGCAGAGACATCGGCGACAGTGGCACGAAAAGTCTTCGCCTGCCAAACACTGGGATCGTTGGGTCAAATCCCAATGTCCGCGTGTATTTGTGTTTCTGTTATCCTGTGCATAAGTAGCGGCCTTGCGACAGGGCTGATCCCCCGTCCAAGGAGTCCTACCGATTGTCTATAAAGTCCATAGCTCCACATCAGTTCTGGCGACCAATAAGCCAGACGGTAAGGGCCCCAACACAGAAGCAGTGATATCAAGATATTTTTTCAACATTAATATTTTTCAGATTTCGTCAATCGGCTTTCCCTCACATCGACACCGTTCGGCGTCATTATGAATGCATTTACACACTTACTCCTAACATCGGCTTAGACACGTTCGGTACGTACAGCATTCTCCCGCATTCGCCCCCAGTCTCGCGGGTCGCTGGGTGATGAGTTCATTTCCCCTGAACAAGACACACAAAAACTCGACCAGAAACCACCCCACTTGATCATCAGCACTGGCAGGCCAGACTGGGCCAGATTGGATACAATGAAGCAAAGACTGCTCGCTACATAACATTAGTAAAACTGTCTCTTACTTTTCCATAATTTTCTTGTGCATTTTAGCCGACTATATAACTCCGTGCTCCAGGAAGGATCCGAATTTCAACGAGTGCGCCTTGAAACACGGCAGAGAGGCCATCCCAAGACTTCTGAAAGGTAGGCTGTGTGTGTGTGTGTCTCCGCAACGTCCGGGCGGGCTCAACCTAACATTTTGCCAAGGGTGAGCTCTCTTCCGCACAGTGTCCATGCAGTTTCTTACTAATGGAGCCCCAGGGTTAATGCTGACAGCTGACAGCTGTCTTCACGGCGCGGTGTTCCATTGAGTTGCGGACAAAAGTGCGGACTGCGAGATCTGAAACTGCGGTGCAAACAAACGTAGAAACACCGACCCCTCCTTCGTCGAAGAGGAGGCCTCATTTCTAAACACGTACATAGCCAGGAGAGAATAAAAATCTTGGTCATGGAGTCGGGAATGACTGTGCTGGCGAAACCTGCGGCAATTTAATCGACCGACCATGAGTTAGTTTGGAGTCAGGAAGGAAGTGTAGCATGAACCGGTTACAGCTGACTGTAGTCACTGGTCGCAGGAGTCCAGTAAGCCTGATTACCAGGGCCCGCATTTTGATGACCTGAAAATATTAAAAAAAATGACCTACAAAATGACCGAAAAAATCCAGAAAAATGACCTAAAGGAGAAAAAAAAAGAACACTTCGCTTCCATGTTATTCACATTTCAGAAAACATATGAAGAAAAATTCCCTAAAATGGCCAAAAATGACAAGAAATACCCTTAAAAGTACAAAAATTTACCAAAAAAATTGCCCCCCAAAATGAAAAAATTACCTTAAACCTAAAATGTCAAAAAATTACCTATACAATTTATATTTCTGTAACCAGCAGCTCATATCCGAGATTTATATATTTAAGAGCATCGCATAGGATACAAGGAAAAAAAGATGACATGTCATCAAAATCCGGGCCCTGCTGATTACCGATCCAAACACGTCATAATATCATGGACCAGACGAGGGATTTTGTGAGCATGGCAGTGAACACTCAGTTCCACTAAATAACGGAAGTTCCTTGACCAGTTGCGCGAACATGCATAAGGAATAACTTTAAAGGGGGTAACTGAGTTCGAAAGAGATGGTCTGGTAATAAATGCACAGAAAGGGCAAGAATTACGATTAAATTACGTGGCAAGACAGTACATTGCAGACATAGCAACATTTGGTAAGATAATATTAAAACGGATATTGACAAATACGTGTATATATTGCGAATCTGTGAGAGCAGTTGAACTGGTTGAGATCATGGAAGCATACGCGATCCCATGACCTCGCCACGTCACACGTGACATCATGTTATCAATGAACATCCTGATCCAAACAAGGGAACCGTTCTACCCCTCCATCCTACTCACTTGGCCCCGTACATCTCTTCTACTGTCAACAGTACATGTCTGGGGGGAACACTGCATCTTCAGAAGGCTCGGGACACACGTTCCTCCGAAACGCCGGCAACAGGCTACCGGACAACACGGTGTCGTAACAGAAAAGACGATAACCACACAAACATGGGTAAAGAAATCGCACACCTCGTTCTGATGAAGTATCAATTGTCACGCGTATGAGTGCCCTTAGACGGGGTTTGGATTTGTAATTAGATTTACTGAGCTGTTACAGAACTTAACTACAAGTAACTATAGCGCTATCGCTAATTCACACACTATGCAGTTCATTACAGGAGGCAGGATGAGTTCTCAGTCTGCTGCATCTCCACCGGTTGTCGCCTGGTTAACGGCTTTCAACGCCATAGCTTTCCGAACTTCCGTGCACGTCCTTACTGACCGGCGACTGTCTCATAAATAAATCCCAGACTTGTCCTGCTTAAAACACCTCAGCATGGACCACAAAGAAAACACCTCTCTCAACAGTTCTTCTATTGCTGCATCACGCGGCTGCCGCACGGAGCGCGAAAAGAACACAGCTTTGCAATTACTCCATTGTTGCGTGTTACTAATCTAGAGTGGCCATTACCTAGCAACGGCTGTTTATTTCACCGTCGTTGCCTAGCAAATGGTCTAGGTGCCACAATATCCAGTTCAATGGAATCTCATGCACAGAACAGGCAGACGAAAAACTGCTTCTTCAGGTTCCTCTTCCTGATCCATGAGAACTGACTGTCTCAAGAAGGCTGTGTATTTCAGGAGACCCGAAATACGGAGTTCCTGTCCTGGATCCAATGTATGTACCGGAAGTATCCGTCGAGGAATCTGGAATTAAAATCACTGCGCGGAACTTCACCATCGAGGGAGCGAGAAACGCCACTCTACAAGACTTCAGGTAATGAACAGATGTTCGGCCTCTAGCACTGGTCGGGCACCAAACTGGGTCTCGGAGCATACGTGCAGCAGCAGACGACCCTAAGCCAGCTACATCCACTTCCATGTGTGACACTAATTAGCCTAACATCAATATCATTAATTAGCCAACTTTCTGAGAGCATAACCCACAGTATAAATATTGCAATTGGACACGATCCTTAGCCAGATGCATCCAGCTCCCATCGTCACGGCCTGTCCCCACTGTCTTCCATATACTTTGCAAAACTTCTGTAAGCCCAAGTTTCACAAGGATTTGCCCACCAAAAATTCTGAATGCATCATGCATTTCCTGCTCCTCCTCCCCACCCCTTCTTTCCCTCCCTCATGTCGTTACCTTAACACTATCGGGCATGTGGACGAGCAGGCTGGGCTCCTGTCATTAAGCAGTATAAACTACACCGGGATAGCTCAGTCAGTATAGGCATTAGTCTACGGAGTTGACGAAAGACGAATCAGGGGTAAATTTCCTGTTCTCCAAAATTATCGCTCTGGCTGCAGAGCCCACCAACTTTCTTTCCAATTGGTAGAGGCATGCCCCCACACGTCCCACGGCGTGTTGCCTAATTTAGTTCTGTCTGTGCCACAGGGTGGACTTCGACAAGCTGATCGTCAGCATCCAGTTCATGGCGCCGCAGTTAGACTTCAGAGGAAAGTACGAGCTGTCGGGCAAGCTGGTGTCCCTGCCGATAATCGGGAAGGGCGACTTCAACTCTACCTTCAGTAAGTAGCAGCACCAGGCCGGGTACACTCCTCGGGTGTTGGGTGTGAGGCCTCCGAAACGTCGGAGGACACCTACCGGAATATACGGCGCCACAGCCCATAAGAGAGTGTCTCTCTCTGCACGGTTCGTTTACAGATTGCTATTTCGTCTTGTGGCGCAAGGATCTGCTTGCCACTGCGTGCGGTGAAGCCTTCTCGAGTGCAACTTCACGCCGCTGAAGCCCGAGGACACTTCACTGCATACAGACATCTGGTGAAGCGGTTCCTACCTCACAGAGAACACAGACCGGCCAGTGCTGTCTGGGTAGATAACCGCTGCAGAAAGTCAGAACCATGCGGACCACGTGAGTACACTCCGTGGGAAGGTGCGTAGACACGTGCATTTCCTCAGACCCTCTCGGAGAATGCCGTGACACTTCCCCAAAGACAGCCGCTCTCACTTCCTTTCATTCAGTGTCCATTAATCGTCCAGCCATGGACGGCGCAGAGCCACAGCCAGTGACCAGTCACACAGAACCCGAAAAGAAAGCTGTAATTGTGATCATACATCCTCCAGGCTTGTCTGCCACCCAGACGTTCACTAATACGCCCACAAGTAGCCGCCACTGCAGGCCACTCGGGAGGGTCAGCTCCAGGCAGTGACCATGTTTGCTTTCAGCATCCGGTGAGAACCGAACTCGTGCTAACAGAACTGTCGCTTGGCCTCTGTTTCAGGGGGCCTCATAGCAAAGTACGAGACGCAGTGCAATTTCACCAAGAAGGCCGACGGAAAGACATACCTGATGCCCCTAGACTACGAAATGGAGTTCGAGCCGGAGTTTGTAAGAATCTACTTCGGAAACTTGTTTAACGGCAACAAGTTGCTGGGTGAGATATCCTTAAGTCATTCATAAGGTAGGTGACGCAACAGGAGTGGGTCAGGGACAGAGCAGCTTCGTGGAAGCGATGGGACAAGTACGGTCTGGGGGTGCGGGAACGCACTGCTCCCATCTTCAGGGTCCAATATTAAATGATGCAACTTACTCCTAGTTGTTACTATAGGATTCTAACGGACCCAACTGAATAGGTGTTTTCCTTCACCTGAGGACGGAAACAGATCCAGTTTCCGAAACGTTGTGTTTTATTTGTTATCTTAAAAACCAGGACGATGGATAAAGTCCAAAAACCCAATATATTAGTGTGTTACCCCTAGTTGTTTGTTCCTTCTACCCGGCGGGCTCATGGACTGACTCCGTGATCCGGAATATAACAGTAAGTCGGTAAGATTATACCAGACCACGTGATGTGACACTGTCATGAACGTGGCAAGCTCAACCCCAGAGCTGATACGAGAAGGGCCGTATCGATATAGACGAAACATCCAGGGAGGGAAAGCAAGAGAGGCTTTGCGCGTTGGGGTTGCAGCAGACCACGAGGTAACGGGAGTAGCTCTCATCAAACAGGGGCAGACTGAGGCCCAAGAAATGGCACGGTTGAGTAGAATTTTCATGTTGCATTTGTCTAAAAGTGATAGCCAATTCCTGCACTATAAAATATGAGGAATTACGGAAAATTATATGACAAGTTTATCTATAAATTAGCGTCATTCCCTGACACAGATCAAGAGAAGGTGCTCCATATATCTGCCAGGGAACATAGGCAATTCGAAAATTACAAAGAAGCGTGTCTGAACACAGAGTTTTAAGTGTCTATGTGCAGTAGAGCCCAACACTGAATAAAGCAATACACAATTCACGAAGGCTTTCAAGGAGAACAATTGGGGTCTGATTGTCTCACAGCCAAGTCTACGAACAGTTTCACCTTCCTCGCCGTGAAGACAGTTGAAATTCGATTAATATTTCAGAGGAAGATATCGTTTCCGTCTTCAGGATCGAAGAATGACTCAAGCAAATAGCAAGCCCTGCTTGCTGCTTCCTCGGTGCTAACTTCTTCCTCAGTTTTTAATTATCCCCCGTTAAAGCAGGTGACATGTCACACCGATGCGTTGTTTTATTTTCAATGGACGACACGGGGCTATATCACATAATACAGGTCACTTGGGGAATGTTATGTTGCGGGCAGGCCTACCGTCCCGCAGAGATGGTCAGAAAAGTGCGACTGCGCAGTCAGTCCGGCTTTACAAGCCACTGCGATATGACGACACAGGGCTGTCTCCCTGTTACAGGTGACGCCATGAACAGCTTCATTGCAGAGAACTGGCGCCTAGTCCTCGATCAGATCGGCAAGCCGGCGTACAGAGCCCTGGGCATGATCGTCCACCAGATCCTGGTACAAGTGGCGAACAAAGTGCCTTACGATGAGCTGTTCTCCGACACAGACTGAAATGTTCTCTCTTCTTGTTTCCACTGCAGAATCTGGTTACAGTCACACAGCCACTGTATACACTGACTGCTTGCAATCTGTCAGGCACACCCTCAACAGTCTGTGCGCGATGTGCTTCCGTGCACAGTAACATGAACGCCAGAGTTCTGCACTTTATATCCGTCCTGTTTCCCTGCCGCCAACAGAATGTTTCTGGCCAACAAAACTTCCCTTCAAGAACACCGTCTCCTCGGAAGTGGCGCCGTACAGTTTGGTAACCGCGACCCACCCCACCTTGCTCGACGCCGTGGCAACGTCAAATTTTACCAGTTTTTTCAAGGCTTTCACTTTCACTACAGGAGCAGTGTGCCATTTAGCACGAATGGGAGACACGAGAAATGCGTACAAAATACTGGTCGGAAACCCAAAAGTGAAGTGACCACTTGGAACACACTTGGTAACAAGACAGTGTTAATGGGACGGTGTGTGATGTTGAGGATTGGATTCAAGTGGCCCACATGGAAGTGTCTTCCATAAAACGGTGGGGGCCGAACGTAGCGCTCAGTTAGTGGCAATCCGGTACCGCAGTCCGGCGGTCCTGATTCCATACCTCGGCGCGTGTATCGGCTACTCCGCCTGAGTTTCCGTCGAATTCGTCAGGTCCTCCATACAAACTCCGCTCAGGCCACGACCGCTTCCTTCCACATGCTTTCCAATTCATTATTCACTGAAGAAGTGATGAACCGAAGCTTGTAACTGATCGAGCGCCTGTTGCCGCGCAAATAAACATGAATATATACATAAGTTGTTGTTCTACAGCCTCTGACGTGCCCTTGGGGATGTGAAGTCGTGGGTTTATCTGGTAATTATTTCACGCGGCTGGAGCAGCCCTGCTCTGCTCCTCTCCCAACATCTCTGCTTCTGGAGAGCGACGGGCAGAACATTTCACATTGTTCTCATTACCCAACGGTCGGCTCAGAGCCCAGCCTGATCCTTTAGTTGCCCAAATCGGTAACATTTTGGTGCCCTCCGCTTGGAGAGGGTACCCCACAAGGCCCTAAGTGGGGCTGATCTTCTGACTGTGATTTGGATTTGCATTCTGACCTGGTGATGGAGGCTGCAAGTTCCTCCGACACGTTGTAACGTATGCACAAGAATGCACGGCGTCATTCCCCAGAACACAGTAATATTCTAAACAAGACTGAACTGACGTTTTTGTTGCATTTAAATAATCTTCATATGTAACGAAATCTTGGCGTTCGAAATGCGTTTTTGCATGCGTAACAAGCACGCAGTGACATGTCACAGCGTCATACAAGATTCCGCGAGGTCGCAACCTACTCAAGGTCACATTTCCAGCCCTATATAAGTGACAGACGCTGCTTCAGTCCTGCACAGTTCAGAGGAACAAACATGTCAACGCTGAGCGTCGTCTTCGCAGTGTGCATTGTGGTCTTCCAGACCAAGGCCCTCAAACTGCGTAAGTAACTTCTGGCTGGACGCGCTCCCTCCAACCTGTGGGACTTCGGGGATAAAGCGGTCAATATCATAGCGTGGTGCTTAGGTACAAGGGGCAACTGTGTCTTTAGTTTTACACGACATCGGTACACTGAAAGGTGCATTCAACGCTGCAAAAGTACGCATATTTGTGCATTTCAGCGGCGCTAGTAGAAACGTAGACACAATTCTAAAGAATTAATTCAAATACAGTAAAATTCAATGTACATACTTTTCTCGTTACCTTCTTCATGTATATACTCATGCACTATAGGCTTCCCCCCGTCACCTTCTTGCACTGAAGTTGCCTTTCAATTTCATCAGCTTCCAAATGGCGTTTCATTTCCAGTACGTGGTGAAATGAAACTACAATATTCGAATTCACTAAGAACTCTCGGAGAACTGAACGCGCTCTGCACCTCCGCTACGATTCAAACGTTTGGTTGCTACCACAGACACGACAATATTTTCTTGCACCTTCAAATGAAGGACTTGGGGCTGATGTGCGAAACGAAGAGGCTTCTCCCTGGCCTCTCTTCAATTCCCACTTTCATTCTCCTGTCTCTCCACTCAACAGAGTCGAACATCTGAAGAGTGTAGCAAAACTGTGAACCTTACAAGCAGAATTGAAAACAAGGTTTTCAATGGGCCCACATGTTTGATGAGACAGACACGGAGGAATTATATCAAGTTCCAAAACAAGGAATGATTTAGTAATGCAGAAGCGGGAAACTCTTGTATAACACGCAACAAAATTACGGGAAAAATAGTATTTTTTACTTAAACATTTTCAAATCTTACGTTACAAAATGTGACATTATGTTCTTTGCTGATAAAAACAAGGATAATTCCATTCCTATATCACAAAAATTATATTTGATATAATATAAGTGCTAAACATTATTTATAATGTCAAAGAGCAAAGGATATTTAAACGCCCAAAAGCAGCGAACGTTTAAATAAACTCCTTTCAGCTTACCCTGCCACCATTTAAAAAGTCCGGAATTTAAAGTTCAGCGACTGGAAGCTGTACCACAACAGAACAGCAATGGGTACTCAGCCATTTTACAAGGTGCGACAAATTAATTTCCGGTATGAACCTGTGAAAGCAAAATGCGTCTACCTGTGCACTAGAGGCTGCTGTCGCCTTCGAAACACTCTCCTTGTGGAGCTATGCACTTCGTGAGACGAAGGTGCCACTGCCGGAAACAGTCCTGAACAACGTTTTCCGGAATATCTCGCAGTAACGTTGTCATGCTGCGTTGGATGTCAGGAAAGTCAGCAAATTTTTGTCCCTTCGGGGCATTTTTTAATTTTGGAAAGAGCCAAAATCGCAGGGAGCTAAGTCACGTGAATACGGTGGATGGTCCATTTTTGCAGTGGATTTCTTAGCCGGGAACTCACGAATTGTTAACGCATCATGAGCAGGGGCATTGTCATGGTGGACAGTCCACTTGTCTGGCCAGAGTTCGAGTCTCTTCCTCCGAACAGACTCCGGTAACCTTGTCAGCACGTCCACTTTACACTGCTGATTCGCCCTTCGTTCGTACTCTGTCCACATGTGCGTTTTGGCTGCCCACTTCTTGCGTCACCTTGCACATCTCACCCTTCCTTGCCCCGCCTGTGCCACTCAAAACTCTCGAGTTCTTCACAGCGAATTCACCACAAGCCACTGTTAATGGGGCTAACGTTTCCACACAAAACTTGCTCCAGATGCTTGGCACTCAGTCTTCCGCCACGTTCTGCTTGGGAACAGATGTCTGTCTCATGTCAACGCAAGTTCGAGCATGTCCAAACAGGAGTTTGCCTGACTCAACACCCCAGCGACATGCTGCATCCATTCCAACAATTAAGTTGTCGCACCTTCCAAATTGTGACGGGCAAATTGCAAGCGATTAAACTATAGGGAATCCCGTTTATCCTTAGACCGTGTCCTCAGAAGTTTCTTCGCTCGCTTTCGTCCACTGCTGGCCGCAGAATTGTCGCGTTATCTCCTGACGCTTGGTGGCTTATTTCGATGGCGCTGTTTGTTTAGTGTGGTTAGTCGTCCTCCAGTACACAGCGTTGTGCTGAAGGAAAACTCTTCATATCAGATGCGCTCTTCATGGAGGAAGTTATGAGGAAGTTTCGCGGGCAGCCTCTTGGGAGCACAGAGTAAGGATTCATGACTCTAACAAAATTACGCTCTTCAGAGTCCGTGTTTGACAACACGAAATATCCATGGAGACACGTACTGACTTCGGTGTGAGTTGCAAAAGTACAGCTCGCATTGGCAGGAAGTTGCTAAATCCTCATCCGCGGCCTCACACAAATTTGCCAGGCGACCCTTCGATACTTCAGACAGTTGCAGCAATCGGAATGAATGGACTTCCTGGCCCAGAACTTACGTGCAGTTCTTATCACTTTCGAAGTTCAATTAAATTGACCTCCTTCCCATCACATTTCTAGAATATGGCCTACCAAATTAGGCCCACGCGGCACTGAGCTATGTTCATCTTCTATCCTGTCCGCAAGTTTCTCCGCAAAACCGGTACGAATTGCGACTGCCTGGGATAAACCGGTTTCAGTAGTCTCCGCGGATTTGAGACCCTTTTCAAAAGAACTTGTTACTCCAGCAGCAAGGCCGACGTGGCTATTTGTAATGCAATTAAAAATCTAACGACGGCTACAGCTGTTAATATTATTTTTTAAAATTACATAATTTAGTGCCTTATCTTCGTTCATACGCAGCAAGTGCGCTTCCCTTTGCTTCCCTACGCTTCTCTGCAAATGCAATTTGCCGTAAGAACGTGTTGGCGTTACCGTTCTCACAACGGCAAGTACCAGAAATTCTACGTACTCTGACACAGCGCCGTGTAGTGCGGTAAAATTCCGCTCTCTTCACTGCCCGCTTCAAGGTAGTTTCTTGTCTGGCTTACTCTTCGACCCTCAGAATGGAGGCAGCGAAATGTTCCTCCGAAACGCGAGCTGACTTTTACCGCTCTACACAGCGCCATATCAGAAAGCACAGAAAGCTTCACGCTAGAAGAAAACTAGTGAAGAGCGAACTTTAGTTTAATTTTACGAATCGCTAATTTAGTGCCGAGCATAGTGGCCGGCAGCACCGTCTAAGGCATGAACTGTCTACGCTCGCTCGAACGCTTGGATCGCGCGTTCGAATTCCACTCGAGGCAAGGACGCGTGTGTAGGTAGCGGCCTTGCGACGGACAGATCACTCGTTCAAGGAGTCCTACGGTCTGTGTAAATAAGATAACAGAAATGAAGAAGCCAGGGCCCGACAAATGGCAGTAGTACCTTCAGTACTTACGTCACGGCCCTCCTGCGTGTCTTGCTTCTGCGCATTACCTGCTGAATTAGTACATCAGAAATACAGAATTAAACTGAATCATTACTACTACTGCCACAGAACAACTGTTTCAAGCGGAAACGTCTTTGACTTGTGCGTGTATATTGAGGGCACATGTTTCGAATCTCAGCTGAAATACAGAATATTCTGACTGACAAGGACTTCATGAGTGTATATGCTGAAATCTCGTTTGCAGTCACGAGTGGCAGTGCCTGCTGACGCCTTACTAAGGACTGCTTATCAACTCGGCAGGCCTGAGTAGTTTCAATACCGCAAACAAACACTGAAGAGTCCATGTGAGTGTAATGTTTGTTTATCACAAAGAAAATTCCGTCGTTTTACAAATCCTTATGCGAAGAGCGCCTCTTTCGAGGGGGAGTCAGTAAATAGGGCACAAATAAATATAAAACGCAAAACATGTGATATTTCAAATCGTAAAGAAAAAAAAACATATTTCTCGATATATACTTCAACAAACATTCATACACTTGTCCCAGTGCGTGGAAACCCCGTAGCATAGAAGCCTTTCCGCTGTTGTCTCAGCCACTTCCTCACCTGCTCGGGCGTTATCTGCGACTTTCGCACGATCTTGAGAGACTTTCTCGACCCAGTTGTGAACCGCTTTACGAGACGAACACTTCCTACCGTAAATAGGAAAGATTTCTTTATGAATATCCTTAACAGTGGGCCCTTTTGGCAACAAAATAGACGCACAACAGAACGCTGCTCTTCAGTAGTTTACCCAACAAACACGGTGACCATTTTGACTACTAAAACCTACATCTGAACATATGCATGCACTTCTGCTACCTAGCGATACATGTATAAAACCTATTACTTCCATTTGTGACCTATTTACTGCGTCTCCCTCGTATGTGGAAGCCGTGTACTGTTACAGCCTTGTGCCTTCAGAAAACTCTCAAACTAGAAGCCATCTTGAATTTCCTTCAGGTACGTCATGTCTCGAGCTGGCGACTTGCCGGAGGAGGTGCACTGTGTGCGCCCAGCGAGACCTGCCGCATGGTGATTTTGGTTGTCGCTCTGTGGGGAATGGAATCTGGTATTCATTATTTGCGTCAGTACGTACTGATTGTAGACACGGCGTAACTTTAGCTATCCTTAATCAGTTCGAAGCGTGAATGTTTATTTAACGACGCTTGGGTTGCGTGTACTGTGTCAGGTGGTAGGATTAGTGACCAATTGAGAGGAAGGAGGCGGCACGGAGTGAGACGCCTCGAGGGCGAGCCAAACGCTGCAAGACAGGCGCGCTCCAGCTTCTCCCGCAATATGCGTCCGGTGAAGTCGGCACTGACTGCAGTGCAGAATTGTACTTATGGGACGGTCCCGTCACCAAAATGCGGGGCAAAATCATTACATAAAGATAGGAAACAGAGGTCTTGAAAATGTGGCACAGCTCAGATATTTGGGGAAAAGGATAACAAATCGAAACCTGTTCCAGGAGGAAATTAAGAGGAGACTGAACTCGGGTAATGCTTGCTACCTTTTGTTTTCTCGTCTGCTGTCTAAAAACATAAAAATTAAAATATACGACACCATAATTTTTCCTGTGGTTCTGTATGGGTGTGAAACTTGGTCCCTAACATTAAGGGAGGAACATAGACTCAGGGTGTTGAGGAAAATATTTGGACCGAAGAGGGATGAAGTAATAGGAGGTTGGAGAAAACTGCATAATGAGGAGCTTCATAACTTGTACTCTTCTCCAAGTATAATTAGAATGATCAAGAGGGTGAGGTGGGCAGGGCATGTAGCACGAATGGGGGAGAAAAGGAATGCATATAAGATATTGGTGGGAAAGCCAGAAGGAAAGAGACCACTGGGAAGACCAAGGAGTAGGTGAGTGTACAATATTAAAATGGACCTTAGAGAGATAGGATGGGGTTGTATGGACTGAATTGATCTGGCTCAGGATAGGCACCAGTGCTCGGTTCTTGTGAACACGGTGATGGGTGGGAAGTTGTTGAGTAGCTGCACATCTGGCGGCGTCTAAAGAGAGGCTCAGCTCCAGGAGTGAGAAAGTACCTACACCAACAATATGTGACGTTACGATAAAACTGACTCTAACTCTCTCATTGCATTTGTGTGCATTTCAGCCGACTATATAACTCCGTGCTCCAGGAAGGACCCGCATTTGAACGAGTGCGCCTTGAAACACGGAAGAGAGGCCATCCCAAGGGTCATCAAAGGTACGAGTTCTGAGTGTACTTTTGCACAGCGCCCAAACAGGCTCTGGGACACAGCCACTCTCCTGTCGAATGGACACTGAGATCTCTGGCCTTGGGACATCGCCTCTCCCCTTCATGTACTCCTGTCCTCCGCTCTTCCAGATCTTACTCTGTGTTCATGTCACTGTTCCAGAACACAAGCATTAGAAACATCCACTAGTCAACGGTTCATGGTGCAGTCAACTCGGTTCTGAACACTGTTTCATAACACAAGCATTAGAAACATCTTGAAGTGAACGGTTCAAGATGCAGTCAATTCGGTTCTGAACTCTCGTAATTTTTTAAACGAGCTCTTACGGATTGAAGTGTAAGTGCTTATAAACTTTTCGGCTGAATATATAATCCATTTGCAGAGAACTTAGCCGACAGATTCCTCCAAAACATCAGTAGCCACCTACCAGACAACACGACGTCATAATCCCACGTCACCATCGCTACAGAAAACATATATCTCATTTTGAGACGATATATTCAGGGGAGGGGAAACCAGCAGAGTAGGGGCTAACCGAATAAATGTTTTGGGGTTGCAGACTGTTTCTGGTTCATGGGACCTACTTATCTCAAGAAGGCTGTGCATTTCAGGAGACCCGAAATATGGAATTCCTGTCCTGGATCCAATGTATATACCGGAAGTGTCCATCCAGGAATCTGGAATTAAAATCACAGGGAGAGAGATCGTCATAGAGGGAGCCAGAAACGCCATTCTGGAAGATTTCAGGTAATCAAATGAGAGACAATCTCTGTCAGTATCCGAGCACCATACTGGGTCTCGAGCTCAGTTCATAAAGACGTTGAGGAAGTCAGCACCATACAGGGAGCAGAGCCCGAGGTTTCAGCAGGGCCAATACCAAAGCCGAACAGTTCCATACTCATCCCAACCAGTCAAGTTTCCTAATGTCTCCCCATGCCAGCGAGATGCTCATCCCTCATCTCACTGCCCTGACAACAACAGGCTACCTACCTGTTCCTCGTTATGTAACATAACATGCTCAGAGTAAGCTATCTTCTCTCTCTGTAAAATGCGCCAGAGCGACGTCACGACGCAACAGGCCACGACGATAAGGCGTCTGCAAGTTCTACAGCCCTGCAGCTAGGAAGGAGAACAAATTTAGGGGGCAAAAACCGTACATAAGCTAAGAATTCTGTATTGTGTGATGGGTTTCAGTGTAGTCGGCTAGAAATTCGCCGACGTTTGTGGGGAAACTCTAACATTAAACTTGCTGCATACTTTTTGCTATGCTTAATCGTCAACCTCGAAGACTCACGCAGTAAGTTCCTCCGAAACGTCGGTGAAATTCTACCGCACTACACGGTGTCACACCGCAGAATGTACTACGAACGTTTCTGTCAATGTTTTGTTACAGTAAACTGTCTGAAGTTCCGAGCTGTGTATGGAAACAAAGTTTCGCTAGCTGGATCACGTGCAAGGAAGGAAAGATGCACAGTGAGGGGGGGCTGTGGCACAGAGCCCGCCTCGATCCCCGGGCTGAACATTCAGCGGGGCCAGCTGATAGGCGGAGTGACCACTGGGCAAGTTGGCTGTCTCGTTTGCGTCACAGGCTATGCTGACTGAGGTTTTCGTCGTTTTCCTCAGTTCCTGCAGGCAAATGCTGTGATAGTACCGACCGCAGGAGACCTTTCCCTTCCCGACAGCGTCCAGTTCGGCTCTGGGGTATACAGGCCGTAGTGTGCTCACCACTCAAAACCCCTTTGTATCAGACTCACGAAAGCATTGAGCCATACCCACGGCGTGTTGCCTAATTTAGTTCTGTCTGTGCCACAGGGTGGACTTCGACAAGCTGATCGTCAGCATCCAGTTCATGGCGCCGCAGTTAGACTTCAGAGGAAAGTACGAGCTGTCGGGCAAGCTGGTGTCCCTGCCGATAGTCGGGAAGGGCGACTACAACGCGACTTTAGGTAAGTAACACAGTCGCCGCACAGCGCTCGGGTGCTGGATTCGAGGCATGTCGTGCCACATCTTCCGACAGAACTTCACTACACCTTCAGCGCTGAGAAGTAACCATCGCGACGTAAAGGCGCAACTACTTGGTGGTCCCAAACGTCGGAGGACACCTACCGGAATATACGGCGCCACAGCCTCTCTCTGTACGGTTCGTTTACAGATTGTGATTTCGTCTTGTGGCGCAAGGAACTGCTTGCCACTGCGTGCGGTGAAGCCTTCTCGAGTGCAACTTCACGCCGCTGAAGCCCGAGGACACTTCACTGCATACAGACATCTGGTGAAGCGGTTCCTACCTCACAGAGAACACAGACCGGCCAGTGCTGTCTGGGTAGATAACCGCTGCAGAAAGTCAGAACCATGCGGACCACGTGAGTACACTCCGTGGGAAGGTGCGTAGACACGTGCATTTCCTCAGACCCTCTCGGAGAATGCCGAGACACTTTGTACAGTTCTTCCAATACCACTTGTTTTCACATTTTCCCCAGTTCAGTCTTTATTAATCTCCCTACCGTGGTCTAACCTAACTCCTACGACTAAGCCCACAATTGGAAGACCTCTCAGACTCGCTGGTAAAAGGCGCTCTCGAGAACATTCCGTGCAGGAGCTCAACGACGGTCCCGTGACGCTTGACCACACAAACACACAGACACATCAGCAGATAATTAGTTCTTGGATGCTGTGTATTGCGTGTACACTGATAACACATTTACGGAACAAATTCACTCTCATTAGCGGCTGTCATGCAACCGGCTGGAAGCTGTTTTGCTGACCGAGTTTCATGTCATGCTGACTTGTGATTCGTTTGCTTTATGCACGAGCACTTCAGAATCCCTGCACTAAGCCTGAGGGTCTAGTTTCTTGCGGTGGGGTGAGACTGAGTCCACTTGGTGCGTCGGCCACTGACTCGTCTCTTGTATCCGCCCCGGATGATAGATGATGAGTGTGAAGCAGTCGGTGGAATGAGAATTGGCAGGGGAAACAGAAGAACTCTGAGGAAACGTGCCCCAGTAGCACTGTGTCCACCACAAATCCCATGACTCAACCTGGGCTAGAACCCGGGACGACGCGGTGGGAAGCTGGCAACTAAACGGCCTGACTTGGGGCACGGCCTTTGAGGATAAATAACTACAAGCTGGCGAGTCCAACAAGTTTAGAAAATCTTCACACAGACCCACGAGTGAAGTGCGGGGTGTAAAGGCGGGCTCAGAAAGCGGTATCATTGCACTAGGCAAGTCGTCCTCGCGCTGAAGGCTATTTCAGAGCCAATGCGGGCGGCTCGCCAAGAATGCAGTGCAGTGCAGGATGCGCAAACTGCCGTTCAGACGAGGTTCGAGGACGACAATTCGATCTGGGGGAGCGCTCGATGTGTGCTCCAGGCAGCCTACATGCCGACCACACACTGGCTTTGTTGCCTTATGTCGAGCAACCAGTCGTACATACTTGAAACCTCACTCTACAGACTAGCGCGAGTTGGGTTCGAACCGGGCCCGTTGTATCCAAACTCAAGGCTGTCACTGTACAGTTTCAGTTCCCGAGTGTCGCTAAGTGAGCAGAAATCTGTGATCATGGCTACATACCCTCCTGCTCTCCCGTCACTGCGCCCTACCACGGGCCAGCTGAATCCAAAGTGCGTACCTCCGCAGAGTATTTGAGGCGGCGTCATCAGCCCGTAATGATGCAGACTGTTACGTCATAATTAGACGGTTCCAAAACATGACGTCACACCACGGGCCTCCCAAACCAGTGTTTCCTAGTGAGCCCTGCTATTGAAATGCTCCGTCTGGTTACGTTTCAGGCAACCTCACGGCGAAATACACAACACAGTGCAATCTGACCAAGCAGGGCGACGGGCGGACGTACCTGAGCCCACAAGATTACGACCTGGAATTCGACCCGAAGACAGCATCAATGTACTTCGGGAATCTGTTTAACGGCAACAAGTTGCTAGGTGAGGTATCCTCCAAGAGTCATTCTGGGTGTTTTCGGAAGGAGGGAAGCTGAAATTCGAGTCTTCGTGGACACACCGTCAGAAATCTGGTAGGTTCTGAAGGGTTCTGACAATAGTGTACAACGTTCGGGACTGCTGGCGTTTTGGGCTCTATCCGAAACAAAGGATTCCCGTGGAGAAAGCAGGGCCACACAAACCACGTGGCTGTCGTGCTGACACAAATATGTCTCCCTGTTACAGGTGACGCCATGAACAGCTTCATTGCAGAGAACTGGCGCCTAGTCCTCGATCAGATCGGCAAGCCGGCGTACAGAGCCCTGGGCATGATCGTCCACCAGATCCTGGTACAAGTGGCGCACAAAGTGCCTTACGATGAGCTGTTCTCCGACACAGACTGAAATGTTCTCTCTTCTTGTTTCCACTGCAGAATCTGGTTACAGTCACACAGCCACTGTATACAGACTGCTTGCAATCTGTCAGGCACACCCTCAACAGTCTGTGCGCGATGTGCTTCCGTGCACAGTAACATGAACGCCAGAGTTCTGCACTTTATATCCGTCCTGTTTCCCTGCCTCCAACAGAATGTTTCTGGCCAACAAAACTTCCCTTCAAGAACACCGTCTCCTCGGAAGTGGCGCCGTACAGTTTGGTAACCGCGACCCACCCCACCTTGCTCGACGCCGTGGCAACGTCAAATTTTACCAGTTTTTTCAAGGCTTTCACTTTCACTACAGGAGCAGTGTGCCATTTAGCACGAATGGGAGACACGAGAAATGCGTACAAAATACTGGTCGGAAACCCAAAAGTGAAGTGACCACTTGGAACACACTTGGTAACAAGACAGTGTTAATGGGACGGTGTGTGATGTTGCGGATTGGATTCAAGTGGCTTCCATAAAACGGTGGGGGCCGAACGTAGCGGTCAGTTAGTGGCAATCCTGTACCGCATTCCGGCGGTCCTGATTCCATACCTCGGCGTGTGTATCGGCTACTCCGCCTGAGTTTCCGTCGAATTCGGCAGGTCCTCCATACAAACTCCGCTCAGGCCACGACCGCTTCCTTCCACATGCTTTCCAAGTCATTATTCACTGAAGAAGTGATGAACCGAAGCTTGTAACTGATAGAGTGCCTGGTTGCGCGCAAATAAAGACACATACATACATGAGTTGTTCTTCAGCCTCTGACGTGCCCTTGGCCTTACTTAGAACAGACAGACAGACAAGGAGAGCCCTTGCCCTTCTGGCTGGTGCATAGGAGCCCCTGTGCAGTGCTGCTCAACACGTTTCACTGCCAAAGCAACCGGTTACTGCAGGAGTCGAGAAGCCTCCACGCAGCGCTGGCAGGACACCGCTCTCTTGCTGCTGTATGCATTCAGTGACATTCAGTCACACACTGGCCTGATCAGAAGGACGAGCGGGTGGAGCCTGGGAACCTCCTGACAAATGATCGTGTTCTCTTTCCTCCCTCAGGAAAACTGTCTGCTAATTCTTCCATGATTTTCCCCATTTGTATACTCACCCACCATTACTGCTCATCTTCCTCAATCCTTAACTGCGCTGTGTGTGCTGCAGGTACCGGCCTCCTTATCCCAGAAACGTGTACAGTAGCATGAGATAAATGCCGGACCCAGGATAACTGTATATAGAGACTAGGCTACAGGCTGGCATACCGGAGAATCTGGGTTTGATTCCTGGTAGGGAATAGCGATTTCACTGTTCTCCTTCCCCGTGAATACCGGGGGCTCATTCAGCTGGGACCAATCCCCTATACGCCTTCATGAATTTGTCTCCTTCTAGAGGACGCAATTGCATAAGTGCCTCTCCCCTTCACCTGAAGAAGGAAACACATCCAGCTGCCGAAACACTTTGTTCTGTTCGGACCATCAGCCGATGGACAGTCACAATTCTTTCGGGAAGGAATATCAAGTATCAGTAAGGGTAAAGTTGTCCCTGTGCCATGAAGCAGTATGTGGGAATGGATGTATAGATCCACATTTTCTTGCCCTCGGTACTAGCTGGAGGTGAGTGATCAGCTTCACGTCCCAGCCGCTTTACCCTTCCTCCCTAGAAGGAGCCCCTGGCACCCATCAGATAGGAAGCTGGGTGGACCCCAGAGCCGGTTTGGACTACTTGGAGGAGTAAGAATTCTTTCAACCATCGGGACTCGAACTCCGACACCTGGTGGTCCAGCCCGCAGCCGGTCGCTATACCGACTGCGCTATCGGCGCCCTGTCAGGTAGCAGTAGGTGAGGTTATATTATTATGCGTGTACGCTGCTCACCGGGGACTGCTCTTATAGCTAGTCGCATTTACCGTGGTGAGTCAAGGTGACAGCTTCTGCTCTCCACCTGGGGGCCTGGTGCAGGGTGGTGGAGAGAGGAAGTGCTCTCAACCAACCACAAGAAATGTCCTCATTACGTGTGCTAATGTCTCACCGAAGGCCACGATAGCATTGAAATTGATAAAAAGGACATTCGTGGAAACGGTGGAACGGAACGCACGAAGGGGAAGCCATCGCTATATAGTCCGGGCGCGAAGCGGTCCCCGCTTTAGACAGACCAAGAGAAGTCAGAATGGAAAGGACTCACAGAATCTTCGTGCTGTGTCTTGTGGTCTTCGGGTGTGCAGCTCTCCAACTGCGTAAGTTGCCTTCACACGTTGAGCAAGAGCCAAGCTACCAACGCGGAACAGTTCTAGCGCTTTCCGTCGCCGGTGTTTGATTACGTCGAAAATCGTTAGGACTCGCAAAAAAAAAAAAAAAGCAATTCTTTCCTGAAAATTTTGTATGAAATATTTTTCGTTCCGATAAATAAAACTCCACAGTGTCAAATTTCGTGAAACGTTTCGTCGGCTATGGAGCTGTTCCTCGCGGAACGAGAGGCGCGAACATGTGGAGGCTAATCTGCGTATTCTTGTTTTGCAAATTTTCGTTGCGAAATGCTTCTAAAACTGAAGAAATGTCACGAAATTTGTTACTGAAACTGTGGTTCGTGTTAATTTCGTCACCTGAGCACTGTGGTATAGTGTGTCCATCAGGAAAATACTTCAGGAAACTGGTTTTGAAGTTGGGGGAAAGAATTGCAATTTAAATGTGACCCCGAGGAAAACATATTCTGAAATCTAACACCTATAACCAAGGTAAACCCATGGAAGTGAGTGCAGACACTGCAGAACACAAAATAAAATTAGAAAAGTGGATTATCTCATTTTTGCCATAGAACTGGCAACAGGGGCACTACAGTTCTCATGGGACGATTTGTCAACAACGTTCCGCGGGAACCGTGCACCATCTGTACAGTTCAGGGATCACACTACAACTCTCCAAAGAACCGAATGTCTACTAACTAACAGTGTATGCTACAGGGTACTCTAATAAGCACTTAGTTACTTATGGAGCTGAGCCCTTCTTGAGGAGAAGCCTACTCTGCAGATTTTATGGAACCCGAAGGTTCATTACTGTCTTCACAAGAACCCTTAACTGGTCCCAATTCTGAGCCAGACCAATCCAATCCTATCTCTCTAAGATCCATTTTAATATTGTCCACACACCTACGCCATGGTCTTCCCAGTGGTCTCGTTCCTTCTGGCTTTTCCACCAATATCTTACATGCATTCCTCTTCTCCACATTCGTGCTACATGTCTTGCCAAACTCATGTTCCTTGACTTGATCATTGTAATTATACTTGGAGAAGAGTACAAGTTTTGAAGCTCCTCATTATGCAGTTTTCACTCTAATAAGTATATCGCTGTTAACTGCTAGCTAGCAAATTCGAAAAATACTTCAAACGCGATTTAGAAACCTTCAGCACCTTATTATAATCGAAACCCGTGCCACACGTAACAGCGTCCCAAATGCTTGCCCGATTTCTTGACTGCATCACGCGACAATATTGAGCGCCCCGAGGCCTGCTTATTTCCAAGGATCACTTTACTAAAACGCCTGACTTTGACTAATATCCTTTGGGCTGAAGAGTAATACCTTTCGAGACGTAGGCGTGAAGTCTGGTCCAAATTTACCGATGTTTCGCAGAAATACTGCTTCCATTTTCAGTGCCGAAGAGTGAGATAAAGAAACATGAAGTAAGCAGAAAGCAGACCCCGCTCGTCTCACTTCACGGTACCGGTACAGCAAGCAACCACACGTTTCACTGCAGTGTGCATATTATCAGATCCACTCAGCCTCCAAAAGAAATGAGTACCAGGAATCTACAAGGGGCTAAAGGCCAGACGACGCGTAAGGCTGACAACCTTGCGCCATCTGAACCGACCGTCTAGAAATTGTGGCAGTCCCGACGTCTCACAACCCTATGAGCCTCCGCGGCCTGTTACAAGGATAGTATTACCTTTTGTTTGTACGTTTCGTTTCATGACGATGTGTACAGAACAAACTTGCAGTGTTCGAAACTTGGGACACATGCCACAGGGCGCTTCGGTCTCCCGAAATGGGCCACCTTGTCGCCTTGGCCCCTCGACAGACGCTGACAACTTGGTACACATGCCACAGGGCGCTTCGGTCTCCCGAAATGGGCCATCTTGTCGCCTTGGCCACTCGACAGACCCTGACAACTTCGTACACATGCCACAGTTCTGACCCATAAGTTGTTTTGCAATCTTGCCGTCTTAATTTGCTGTCGTGCAAGGTTTTGACGCATGTAGCACGACTGGAGAAGGGAGCAGAAACATGAAGCAACATGTCTAGCCTGTCACTCCATGTGTTTCAGCGGACTACATGAAGCCATGCTCCAGAAGCGATCCGAACTTCAACGCATGCGCCCTTCAGCAAGGCCGGGAGGCGATGTCACGCATGGTCCAAGGTAACTCATCATCTCAGTTCGGGTAACAGAGGGAGCGAGACTCCACTGTCGGCAAGCGACAGAGAACAGTCAGCGCGGAAGGGGCCACTTTTCTGTCCACCTTTCCCATTGGCCCGGCTGCAGCTCCGATCCTTACACCCTCTCTCCCTGCCGACTCTGTGTGACTCGCAAGGAATCTGACGGGCTTTCCCAGTACTTGTATGGGAGTACTGAAGAAAACCAATTTCAGAATATTGTGTGTCCCGGTCGGGATTAAGAGCGAGTGCCTGCAGAATAGGAGTCAGGAGCGTTACGACTGTGCCGAGTCATCTGCACCAGTGAAGGAGCCTACAAAACTACACGGCGTCGCAAGCCGAGGGCCCACATTCTGAATCTGCCCCAGAATACGTGCGTCACACCTGTCAGCTGTTGCTGCACTGCAGTGCACAGCTCCGCTGAATGCCATGCGACGGAATATTCGTGTTTGGGAAGTGACGCCGTGAAGTTTTGTAGATATTTACTACCTTCGAGGAGCCTGCTGCCTCCATCTTCACGATAGCCTTCTGAAATGCACATTAACTTATTCGCCTCGTCAGTGATGGGCCCACCGCACGCCCCCCCATCTTGTTAGAACCCTTAAAAGAGCCTGAACTCTAATGCTAGGGCCAGAACCCTCGAGAATTAGGCCTTCTCAGGCGTATCTGCCGGCTCTCACTCTGGGGGGTCCCAAGTTCCGATGTGTGTCTACAAATTCCCTGCACGGGGAGCTTCTGAGAGGCACCGCCTCAGTGTACATTGGCCAGTCAGCACTCCTGTTACCCGCCCACATGTCCCCCCTTCTAACCCAGTACGTCCCCAGCCGCCAACATGCTAGAGGCCACTTAAATGGATTCGGCGTATTGTATTGAAACCGCCTAAGTAGACGAGATCGGACGGGCCTTCATTACTTAGTTCTGCAGATCTGACTATAGATGGCGCTAAGCGTGACTTTCAGATATGTACGCTCTCAGGCTGCATATAATTGTGGTTATTTGAACTTGATGTGAGGGAGCATCTGAGGAAGTTCATTCAAACCGAGCAGCTTTGACATTCGTAGCAGCAAGTAGTTCTATGGCTGGACTTCTCAGCCATAGAAATAGACGGTTTCTCCGAAAGACCTTCAATAAGTGGTTCCAAAATTCGGAATAAAGAAACAAATACGTAATAGAAATGTTGACGCTGGAACAGAGTAAGAGCTCACGTCAAGCCGGTTGCCCGTTTCAGGAGACGACAAGTACGGCGTGCCTGTGCTGGACCCGTTGCTGATCCGGAAGTTAACCACGACCTACAACGGATTCACAGCGACCACCAGGAACTCCACCGTTGTCGGGGTGAAGGGCGTCGTGATAGAAGACATCAGGTATTGCGTCTGACGTATCTGTAAGCTTGCTTCAGCATGGGATAGAGGCTCAGGTCGCCGCGTCACCATATGCTCTTTCTGAATACGCGCGGGACTTCAGGTTGCCTACCCTCAGATTCACACGCACACACAGAAGGAGAGTTCAGTATTATTATTATTGTTTAAACAAAACATACAGTAAAGTCCGTATTGGTAAACATTTTTCTGATAAATTTCCTATCCAGAATGGTGTAAAACAAGGAGGTGCTTTATCGGCACTGCTTTTCAACTTTGCCTTAGAATATACCATTAGGAGGGATCAGGAAAGCCAGGTGGGACTGAAATTAAATGGGACATATCAGCTGCTGGTTTATGCTGATGACGTGAATCTACTGGGTGATAATGTAGATACCATAAAGAGAAACATACAAACTTTAATTGACGCAAGTAAGGAGGTTGATGTGCCGGTCACGGTAGTCGAGCGGTCTACGGCATGCACTGTCTTCGCTCGCTCGAAAACCGAGATCGTGGGTTCGAATCCCACTCAGGGCATGGATGTTTGTGTGCGTTTTTCTGTGCTTGTCTACAGGTAGAGGCCTTGCGACGAGCTGATCACTCGCCCAAGGATTCCTACCGTATGTGTAAGATCTAGTAAACCGAAGTGAAACGGAGAGTTTCATGGAGGTAGGCCTAGGCCCAAATTGGGGCTGTAGCGCCACAGGGGAAAAAAAAAAGGGTTTGATGTGGAAGTAAACACAGAGAAAACTAAGTATATGTTTCTGGAATGAAGATTGGCAGGGGAAACCGAAGTACTCGGAGAAAACCTACCCCAGCGCCACCTTGTCCATCACAAATCCCACTTGACCAGACCCGGGTTTGAACCCGGGCCGCTGCGGTGGGAAGCCAGGGACTAACGGCTTGAGCTATGGCGCGGCCATGTATGATATTAGTGGGAACGCCAGAAGGAAAGAGGCTACTATAAATACCAAGATGTAGGGGACAGGATAATATTAAAATGGATGTTACAGAGATAGGATGGGGTGATATGGACTGGATTGACCTGGCTCAGGATAGGGACCAGTGGCGGGCTCCTGTAAACACGGTAACGAACCTTAGGGTTCCATAAAATGCTGGGAAGTTCTTGAGTAGCTGCACAACTGTCGGCTTCTCAAGAAGAGATCAGCTCCATGGAGTTACGAGCATAGGTTTTGGCCCAGTGGGCCCAGGGGTGGGGTAGGATAGTGGGCTGACGTGTGGTCCAGGCCCATACGGACCGTGGACAGGGAGACCATCGCTCGAAAGTTGGAACATCAGTTGCCCATGGTCTTCATCTGTCGCTCTTCTGTGTCCAGGCCGCAGACTTGTCCCATGGGGGTGCTCCACAAGTACACGAACGCATATGGACGCGTCAATTTGAATCTTCATATCAGCAAGCAATCCTTCGGAACCTTTCGCTTTCTCGTCCACAGCTTTGACTTCGACAAGCAGCTCGTCAGGGTGGCCTTTATGTTCCCAACTCTCCAATTCAACGGGCTGTACGAAATGTCCGGCAAACTGGCGGGTCTGCCCATAAGTGGGAAAGGCGATTATGATCTCTTCTTGAGTAAGTGTTAACTACTCTAACACGATCAGAGTTTGGAGAGCTCAGACAGTATAGTAACTGGAATACGGGCTCGGGGATCTTGGTTCGAGTCTCGGCAGGTGCAGAGGTTACTCCACAAGATCCATACAGGCTCTGGAGCCCACCTAGCCTCCAATCCAACTGGTTCAAGGGGTCTATCCCAGGGGTAAAGGGGCCGAAATCTGAGACTAAGCGTCCAATTCGACAGACTGCCGAGGTTAAAGATATATGGAGCTGTACCTCCTCTGTCCCACATGCCTTGCTGAAGAGGTGCTGCAGAACTGATGGCAGGATAAACCCCATTTGCTGTTGTAACGAGGGTGCTCCATCGTTAGCTAGTGACGCAGACCATCAGAAATAATCTGTCGCTTATTTAGGAGTTTGGATTTGAGAATTGGATTTATTGACCAGTTATAAACACAGCTCGAAACTACAATTAATTACAGCGCTATCGTTAATCTCCACACTTTACAAATTACTACAGCACCCGTGAAGCCTTTTTTTAGTCTTCACTAGACGTTTCCTGGTAGCGGCTTCTAAGAGTGGCGCTCAGGTCTTCTTATCACAGCCGCCCGTGCAGGTCCCTCAACAACAGTAAGCGTCTCAGTCGAACGGACAGCACTTCATCCTATTCGGGAGGTCCCAGGTACGAATATCGTACCAGAGACCGGCCATCCTGACTGAGGACTTCCGGGCTTTCAACCGACCCTGCAAGTGATTGCCGCTACCGTACGCCTGATGAGCTCACGACCGCTTTCTCAGGCATCATTTCCAATTCATTAATCTCTAAAAACATTTGATCACACAATTCTGCGGAGTCTGCGCCAATGAGAGCGTCGGAAGTACCAACAGTAACCTGCATCGTTGTACTCAGTCAGGCCAGAGAGAGAGAGAGACGCCCCTCGCAGACACAATTCATGAACCTCTTCACATGCCATTCGTGTATAGACCCATGTAAATGTAGCACGAATGGGGGAGACGAGGAATGCGTATAGGATATTGGTGGGAAAGCCAGAAGGAAAGAGACCACAGGGAAGACCAAGGCGTAGGTGGGTGGACAATATTAGAATTGGTCTTAGAGAGATAGGATGGGATGGTATGGATTGGATAAATCTGGCTCAGGATAGGGACCAGTGGAGGGCTCTTGTGAACACGGTGATGAACCTTCGGGTTCCATAAAATGCTGGGAAATTCTTGAGTAGCTGCAGAATTGGCGGCTCCTCAAGAAGGGCTGAGCTCCATAAGTAAGTAAGCAAGTAAGACCCATGTAAAACCTCTGCACCTGAAATACTGTCATTAAACAAGTCAAGAATTTATCAAAATCTTGAGTAACTGAAAAAATATTCCACAGAACGGGGTAATTGCATCTTGTCATGTTCTGTGATGTGACGCCGTGTAGTTCGATGTATATATACCGACGTTTCGGAGGTATCTCTGTACCAGACTGTACGGCGTCACATCCAAGCTGACATTAATCTTTACCATAAACCCTTCGTCAAGCTAACCTTTTCAGATAATGGACGCGATGTTTGCCGTCTGACAGTTCTATGAGCTGAGCGTGCAGAATTCATAACAACTTCCCACTTCTACTCATCTCCTGCTCTCTCTTCCACCCGTACCTCTCTGTTCGTGTAGTCCATGCTAAGACCGGGCGAGTTGCAGGTGGCCTCAGCGGTAACTACTCCACTAACTACACACTGGCCCGGCTGCGGGACGGCCAGCTCCACGCCATGCCGCAAAGTTACGCCGTCGACTTCGACATACGCGGATTGAAGGTCCATTTCGGAAACCTGTTCAAGGGCAACAGGTTGCTAGGTGAGCCATGACAGCACCACCGTCATATTCCCCTTCGTAACTGTTTCACTCAACACGACATTGCGTTAAGGGTTTCGAACGGGTAAAACAGCATTTATAAACGGGTCTCCATAGAAGGTTTCATTATTGGTTCATCTGTGGAGAACTGTTACACGTAAATGTGGAGCACACAACCTCGCGATGTGCTCGGCAGGTTCACGGCGCAAATGGCGCTGGCAGCATCAGGACCTAGAAACCACCTTAATTCAATCTCGAACACAAATAAGTTCAGGTAAGTACATCGAACATCAGAATGTCTGTCACGGTCCCCCCCCCCATTTTCTTTCTGCCCATGGTGAGAGCGGACGCGAACCTGGGAATGCATTTCTTAAAATACAATATTATTATTATTATTTTTGGGCGCGCGGCAGAGTAGTTGGTTCAGGCACTATGCCAAAAGCCGGAATGTGGCGGGATCGAATCCCGATGATGTGGATTTTTTCAATTGGCCTAATCCTTCCAGCCGCACTATGGCCCTGGCGTCGACTCAGCCTCTAACAGAAATGAGTACCAGGAATCTTCCTGGGGGTAAAGGGCGACCGGCGCGTAAGGCCCTGGAGTCTTCTTGGGGAGTAATGGGCGGCCCTCACCGCCATCTGTGAGCCGACTGTCTAATGTGGGAGCCTCAACGTCCCACAAGCCTATGTGTCTCCACGGCCTGTTACAGGGATGGCTTTACTTACTTTACTTTTATTATTATTATTATCTTACTGCAATGTGTGTTCACCCGGTGGCAGCAGATCTTACACTGACACAGACAAGGCAACTACACTGTACACAAAGGGTAAAAAAGGTAAAGGTGTCCCTGTGCTTAATTAATTAAGCACTAGATCCACATTTTCTTGACCTCAACACCAGCTGCAGCCCCGCTGTACAGTACAAAACAAAGTACACACAATGCAAATCCAACCAGTGACTAGGAGTACACACGTTACAAGGACACATAATCCCAATGCATTTGAGTATCCTCAGTGTTTATATAGTCACACAAGACCACGTTCTCAAACTTCACTATAATTCAATTCACTTCACTCATTCCCACTTGAAGCTTTTTACTTGTAACTGCTTCCCTTACCCTACTTCTGCCTGCAGGTAAGCTGTTCCAATCCTTTATGGTCCTATTTACAAAGGAATATTTGCCAACATTGGTTATTTCTTTCCTACTCCTAATTTTCCAACTACTCTGGTAGCATGGTTTAAGCAGGCTATTCCCTATCACTTTCCAAGCCGGTGTCCTGATGTACGCCGTGCAAAGGGCGCACAAACTTGCATTCATTCCCAACCCTATTCACTTGCGTGATCTGTTTGTTTCGAGAAGTGGCTAGCCTAGGGCACAAAATGGTCCTTACAACGTGCTAATTGTGGTGGATAGCGCGAGAAACGCCAAGTAAACTTTCACAACTTGAGTACCTTCCAATTAATGTTTCAGTTCCTACCTCACAGGAAACACGCTGCTTCTCCCGAAGAGGAAGCATACCGGCCACATTTATCACATTTGAAACTAGCACGACATTTCTAATAACAATTACCAAAAAGAAAAGAGACAATATTAAAAGTATCTTAAATAGGCGGGCTATTAGAGTGTAGAATAGACTGTCTGGCTCAGAATAGAGACCAGTGCGGGATGGGCTCTTGTGAATGCGGTAATGAACTTTCGGCTCCCATAAAAGGCAACGAGTTTATTGACCACCTGGGAGACTATCAGTTTCTCAAAAGGGGCTGTGCTCCATGGAGTTGGGCCTACCATGAGGATGTAACTTCATTGGTAAAACTACGAGCTAAACACGTAGCAGCGTCTGTGAACGCCTTCTAATTGTGGAGGTACTTTCTCTTCTGTTATCCTTACCATGTCTCAAGAGGCCTAACACGTGCAGTAATGGCGGAGGTGGTACGGTTAAGGTGAAGCTAACCCTGTAACAGGCCGTGGAGGCCCATAGAGCTGCGAGACGTCGAGGCTCCCACGTTTTCTAGACAATCGGCACACAGATGGCAGTCAAGTTGTCAGCCTTATGCACCAGCCGCCCTTTACCCCCAGGAAGACTCCTGGTACCCATTTCCGTTAGAGGATGAGTCTGTCCCAGTGAATATGGTGACTGGTACGTTTCAAAAGCAAAGCACAACTGACAATTTTGTCTTTTACAGGCAATAGCATCAATGACTTCATAAACGAAAACTGGCGCCTGGTCGTGGAGGAACTTGGCAAACCTGTGCTCACATCCTTGGGGAGTATTGTACACGAGGTCCTTCTGAACCTGGCCGAGAAAATACCTTACGATGAACTGTTTGCTGCGTGACACGTGCGCTACGCATGCGCAACCCTAAGGCTGAGACTACAATGTTGTTACGGAATCCGACAATATCCACACTTTCCCTTCAGTGTTCTGCAGAGGGTCAAATAGTGAACAAACAAGCATTTGTTTCTATGCGAGGCCTGATGCTCCGCTGCCGGTGACTATGAACAGTGTTACCTTCCGCCGTGTGGTCTGGTAGACCTTGCTGATGCTTCTCTGGCTTACACTTCAGACCTCTGAAACGGAGGTACCAGACTACACGGAGTAACAATCTTATTCGCTTACAGTTCGTGGATCCGGCTGGAATTTGCTTTCCGATTTCTTAAAATATAATTTATTCCAATGTTTACACCAGATTCATTTCCCTGCGCGTAAGACATTCCTCACCATGTACCCGTGTTGGTACACCTGCTTACATAACATTTGCATATCGCTAGGTTAGCCGTCGTCACAATAAAGTGACTATAATCAGTCAGCATTTTGCAACTGAATATTTATTTCCTGCTACATGTTTCGGTTTCACAGAACCATCATCGGGCAGTGACACAAGGATACATCTAGGGTCATTGAATTGCTAATATGAATCCATATTGGTGCAAAGTATGGTACAGAATTGTTGCCTCAAATTAAATATAAGTATTGAAATTAAATTATAAAAATATCAAGGATATATTAAAGATATATTACACAAGTATGCTGACTTTGTATTATAGGTATAGAAGGTACTGAAAAATATATTAAAATTATTAAAAATGTGTATGAAGAGTTTCAAAGTTGCAGTGCTACGGCTCCGTGTTGTTAAGTGTCACAGTGTCCAAGGGTCTGATGTATAAGTGTATAACATTTTCCGAGCATTCCGAATGTCTGCCTGTAAGTGAGTTCCAGAATTGTGTTCTAAGGTCCCCACTATGCAGGTGAGAGACGACGGTTGCCGCGTCGCGACGCACAGAGACGCTAGTTAGGCTCTCAGCGATAATGGTTTCCACGGAGAGGATCACACGTGCAAGAATGGGCGCTTAGTAGCTAGACGTGGAGATAACCCTACCCAATTCCACTTGTCCCTTAATTGAGGCATTGAAAGAAGCTTTGTCGATAAACTTCTGCCCGCCAAACATAATGCCGGACAGGCTACCAGTATTGGGCGCGGCCGTGAACCTTTTCCAATATTGGAGGCTTGGGGTCTATGACCTCGAGCTGCCTGGATGCAACGAAAGGAGACTCGATGGAGAGAAGTGAGTTGCGGTTACAGCTGAACACAACCGCCTCTGTGGTCCAGTGGTCAGAGTTCCTGGCTACGGATCCAGAGATACGGGTTCCATTCCCGGCGCTACCAGATTCTTTCGGAGAAGTAGTGGGTCTGGAACGGGGTCCACTCAGCCTCGTGAGGATAACTGAGGAGCTATTTCAAGGAAACAGCGGCTCCGGTCTAGAAAACCGAAATTAACGGCCGTGGGGATTCGTTGCGCTGACCACGCGGCACCCTCTATCCGCAAAAGTTGGCACTAACTTCGCCGATAAGCGGCGGTCGCTCGGTCGGTATAGTTCGCTTGCGGACTAGAGGCCACGGAGTTTGTTTTTGTTCCTTGTGTAGTTGAACACAAGGGGATACGGGAGATTTGAACATAGTTAGGAGAGGCGCACTGGTGAGGTGACGACGGTTACACAGACACTATGATAGCAAAGACAAGCGATACAAAAGTTGCTTACGGCGTAAGACATTACGTGGAGGAGTTGCGGAACTGATTAAGAAATTAGCGGCCGACAGGAGAGTGACAGAACGAAGTGGAGGCCTAATGGGGGATCAGTATAACTTCCCAGATAATTGCATTGGAAAACTGAAATACATTCTGTTCGTAGTGTAACGGTGGTCGTGTAATTTACAACTCCCAAAGTACGAGCCCATCCCGGTACCTAGCGCGACCCGTATCTCGTGTTACTACCGACTGCGGGAACCCCGGAGGCACGGCAGCAGCCGTTTATAGGACACGATACTTTATCGCCATGTTCACAACACCAGCTGGCCTCAATGTCTCTCGCCTCGCATGGGCGCTACATACCCGTCCATCACAGTAACATCTAGCGATGGGCTACTCACTGTGAGATTCCAGTTTCCGCTGCCCCTTCTACCTCTTAGATCCGGCCAATCTTCTTAGCAACCTGTTCTAGAAGTGCCTCAACCATCCTGAGGTTTCAGATTCTCACCGCCACATCCACGAGAATTACTGCCGTCTTGAATGTGACGCCATGTCGCCTACAGCTTCAAGACAGAAGATAATCTACCCTCAACATGGAGGCAGCAAGTTGCTCCGAAATGTTAATAATGAACTACCAGACTACATGGCATCACATCCCTGAAGAGAGTAATCTTCATCCTTGCAGATTCATATAAAACAACGGACTCTGTCCATTACGAAACACGAGTATTCAACATCCGCTATAAACTACGTGCAGCCCATAACGCGAAAGGATCGTGACGTTTATGTCGTCGTTAAACACGATTCCAACACGAATCGGAAAATAAGCGCGGCTTGATGTCGCGTTATAAAAAGCACCAAAATCGCAACAAGAACCTTGAGAGGACAAATCATGCATCCGCTTGAGGACGCAACATTCCTGTTTCGGGCTTACTTACGAAATGCCATAAACCGATCGCTCGACGCTTCCACCCCACTCCCATCCTCTATATTTAAGGGGCCCACGCCTCTGAAGATGCACTTGTTGGCTGGGACAGTTCGACGCAACACCATGAAGCCTTGCGCCAGGGTCCTCGTCTTCTTCCTCCTCGCGTCCAGCGCTGCGGCCCTCAAACTACGTAAGTCAAATCATGCCGACGTTTCTGACTAACCTGCTGGCAAGAAAACAGACAGAGCAGCTCTGCAAGCTGCAAGCCTTCTCTGAATACTCTTAGATCTTGATGATGACAGCAAAACGTTCCTGCGAAAGAGTAACAGATCTCTATTAGGCTACATTAGTCACGTCCAGCGGGTTAGAATTCTGATAAACTGAAGTCACATTCATTAGATAAAGCTATTAAAATTATGTTAGAACAGACAATGAAACCCAAATATCGAGGCTTCAGAAACGACTGAAATCTCGCGCTTGGCTGTATGCTGCTACAACCAACGAGATATCTATGCTTTGGAATTCTCCTGTATCCCAGGCATGTTGATGTCTCGTCATGAGAATGCACACTAAACCATTAAACAAAAACTGCTAAACGATTCTCTGAAAAAGTGGTACACCTCAAAATTTTCTTCCAAATTTAGGGAAAAACACACATTGGGATATCTGGAAACGGGGTGTTGAGTGCAATATTCAGATCTGAGAGGAAAGCAGCAGAATGCTCATGTAAACTGCACAATTAGGGCTATTTGCCTGAAGTTGGTATTATGATTAAATCAAGTAAAAGTGGCACATCACACTTGCGTGACATATGAAATACTTACATACTGAAAATCTTAAAGAAAGGGAACATTTGGTAGATCTAGAGAAAGAGAAAGAGGACGGGATAACAAAAAGTACTTAAGAAAAATATGTCACAGTGTATGGAGTGGATTCATCTGGCTGAGAACCTAGGAAAAATTGCGGGCTGTATTAAGGGCGGTAATAAATTGGAGGTTCCATGACACCCCGAAATTATCTTGAGCCCTACACCGACGCTCAGTTTCCGCACACGTCAGCTCTGTTTCTCACGTGCCGTCACTGATTCGTTTCAGCTGACTTCGTGAAGAAATGCTCCTTGAAGGACCCGGAATTCAACGCCTGTGCCTTGAAGAACGCAAGGGAAGCACTTCCTCATATCGTGAACGGTAAGCATCCGACTGTTCCCAGCCCTGCAACTGCGCACAAACGGCAGCCACTCGGCGCGTGTTCACACACAAGGATATGTGATGTCCTTCGTCGTATTTATAGTCCTGCCGGGCTGAGGCGTCGGTACGTGCCCAAACTGACATTCGTGGCTTCTACGGAAACATAAAAACATAAGAGAAGAGCGACTCGTGCCGAGGGTTGCATAACCGGGACTCGATGTCTCTAGTGAGTGAGATTTCGGAGGAATATATTGTTTCCATCTTCACAGCAAGACAAATGAGCAACCAGCCAGAAGGAAATAGCAAGCACACTCGCTGCCTTTACTTCACTGCAGGTTTGCTCCATAAGTCTTACCTGCCACTAAAGCAGCAGAATCCTCCGAAACGTCACTGAACCTCTACACGAGTACACGGTGTTCCATATCGGATTACAGTAATTTTTTATTCGAAATTTCATTCGCGAAAAAGTTGTCAGCAATCGGCATTTCGGGAAAACTTGCTGACTTGCCAAATTTTATTAGAATGAGAACAGCATGTGGCACGCGTGGGAGAGAATATGAACCCGCAAAAAGTTTTAAAACGCTAACCTGAAGGAAAGAGATCATTTGAAAGACATAGGCGTAAATGTAACAATAATATTAAAAAGGGCTATAAGAAGATGAAAGCGTGCAGATTGGATTAATTTGGCTTAGGATGGAGACCAGTGGCTGGTAACATAGGTTCTTTGAAGTTTGATTAGATGAGCAATCGTCAGTTTCGAAAATGAAACTATTCCTTGCTGCACATTTGAGAAATTGTTTCATGTACGTTACAGGATTAAAGAAATTCCACATCCCCGTCCTCGATCCACTGATCGTGAAGGAGATAAGAGCAGTAGAAGGACAACTGAACATGACGGGACTGGACATCAAAGCGGAAGGGATGCGGAAAGCCATTCTGGAGAGCATCAGGTAACTTTATGTTGTTCTGGCCGCGTGCAGCTCATACTCGGTCATCTCCTACTGGACTAGAGTTCTCCGGAGTATGACACCGTGTAGTCTGGTAGAAACTGGCCGGAATTAGATCCATACTGAGTTCAACTTCCTGCCTCCTTTTCATAAATTCGTCCCTGACGATGAAGGCAATATGTTCGTCCGAAATGTCGGTAAAGTTTTATAGGACTACACGGCGTCATATTTGCTGACCTAGGTCGCACCCAGCCCGCGAGTTCTGTGAGGCTGGCTGGCATCGTCACACAAACCGCTCTAACACTCTGTTTGTCCACAGTTTTGATTTCGACCAAAAGAAGGTCGTCATGGAGGTCGTTGTTCCAGAAGCACACTTCTCCGGCCGGTACGAGGTGAGCGGGAAGCTTGGGGCGCTGCCCATAAAGGGGAAGGGAACTCTGGACGCCACGTTCTGTAAGTGACTCCTCTCCACTGCCTTCTTTGTGGGACAATCTTACGTTTCTACTCCGAAGGAAGAATTACAATTCCTTATATACGAAAGAAGTTTTGTAACGGCGAAACGAAACCTCTCAATTACGGAATTTCGGGATGCTGAAACATTTACATGTTGCATGAAGACAAGACACTTGGTTGGCCGAGAGAGGAATAACAGGATTTTGTTTCTGGGTCTGGTCAAGTGGGATTTGTGGTGGACAAAGTGGCGCTGGGGTGGGTTTCCTCCGCGTATTTCGGTTTCCCCTCTCCATCATCATAATCACCCGGGGCAGGTACAATAGGCCGATCGGTGGCCGTCGTGCCGAGTGGACCCAGTTGGACTCCACCCCATGTAAGTGAATTAAAAAAAAATAGTATTCATAACGTTATGTGAATTTGTGAATTTTTGAAAGCTTCCCCTCCTTTGCAAAATATGCAAATAAGAGGCGTGATGTGTCCATACAGACCAGTTTAGTACAGTCGTACTGAAAGCTCTGAACTGGACGCAACAGTGGCACACAGGGGACCCACTGCGCTTTAAAGGGCTAATGACAAATTCCAATTAATTTCCTCCTTCCTTCCGCAGACCACAAGGAGACGACCCAAGCCCAAAATGAAATATAATCTGTGCTCTTAGCACCGGCTGTTCAAGCGGAAGTGTTTGTGTGTCTAGACATGTTGGCAGGCCCGCCGAGCGCCTATGGGACGCCTCCCTCAAGCATGCGCCTCTATGGTCCAGTGGTCAGATTTCCTGGCTACAGATCCAGACGTCTCGGGTTTGATTCCCGGCGCTACCAATTGTTTTGGAGAAGTAGTGGGTCTGGAACGGGGTCCACCCAGCCTCGTGAGGATAACTGAGGAGCTATTTCAAGGAAATAGCGGTTCCGGTCTAGAAAACAGAGATCAACTCGCTAAATATTTACAGGGGCGAAACACAATTTGTTGAGAAAAATGAAATATATTTGATTCACAAGGCAGTTCTTCTGTAAGAGTTCCGCTTTTGAATAGGCTTAAACAAAAATATATTGTGGCATATATACCCGTTGCTAGGCACAGACCTCGAAACAAACGAGACAACAGACGTTGCAATGCAACAGCGCGGTAAACACGCCTCTACAATAACAGTTACTGTAGGGAATGTAAACAGCGAGTCGTTCACATTCCCTGCAGTACGGACAATACCTTGTAAGATGAGGCACCGACAAAACAATTAATATTAACATCTACATCACGAGCCTCCTAGACAATCTTATATACAAAAAGAAAAAATATAGAATATTCCAATTTGTCCATGGGAACGTACGAAATTACATAAACCAACGACTGATTCCATGTTATAAAACATCAATCAAAATTGTATTCCTGTTTTACAATATAACTTCTGTTTTATATAATCTGATTAATTGTATTTTTTACGTCAAGTGTTTTATATGTTTAACAGTACTGCAGTTCAGTGGTGTATATATGTTAAACATGTATTTGCCTGATGATGGCTATTGATAGCCGAAACATGTAGCAGAGCCGCGGTTGGGCATTGGCCTTGATATTTGTTGTGCTGTGACGGTTAATAAAGAGGTTGAATAAATCAATTGACGAATCCATACCCCGTCTATGGTCACACAAACATAAATCGTGACAATATTTCGCTATGCGTACATTTGTGCACTTGCCAACACAGGCGAAGGTTTCCCGTCTGCTTTATTCTCCAGAACTGTTACGTGAAGCTTCCTCCGACGTTAGCTCATACATCCATACGTATACAAATCATAATATATTTTACATAATATTATAAATACTGTTAGGATTTTTTGAATGACTGTAGACGGGGTTCAGATTAGTAATTGGATTTATTGACCACTTACAAGTCGTAACTACAAGTAACAGATGCGCTATCGCAATTCACACACTGCAGTACACTACAGAAGTTACTAAGTCTTCTCAGTCTGCTGTGGCTTCACTAGTCGTTGCCTGGTGAAGGATTCCAGCAACTTCGTCTACTTCCGTGCTCAAGCCCTTATCGGATGGCGTCTGTACCACAACAAACTCACTGTCAAAGTCAAAGTCACATTGCGACTGACGGTCAGTCAGTCAGTAAGTCTTGGAGCCCCATTTGGGGCTCATGACCAGATATTAATTATTACCGTTTGACAGTTACGGTCTTGTTTCTGTGGGGCGCCTTCTATGACGAGAGGACGGGTGTCTTTTGTATTAGCTGCTGGCCCTTGCCAGCGCAGTCTTTCTCGGGTCCGAGTCCCTTGGGACTCACGACCATATTTTACTGTCTCAGAATTGAGACTTTCCTTTTCGTCGCCTCCTACGACTCGCAGGGTCATGGCGGAGGTATTCGACCCCGCCTCCACACGGGGTTAACTCACTGCTCCAACCGTCCTCCTTATAACATCACGGCAAAGACCGCACAGAAAACACTGTTCCTCTGTTTTTCCAATTGTTGCAGTGCAAATGGACGTTGGATGTCGTATAACGCCTTCTTTCGCGGTCGTTGCTTAGCAACCGACATACATAACACAATATTTTTAAGTTCATTTGAATAAACAGTTATACACCTCGCTTTCTCACAATAAACACTTGAGCAAGGCTGCTGGCATGTCATACGCAGACCTTCTGCTGAATGCGCCTCTTCCTTTTGTTTCAAGGAGATGAGCAAACACTGATTCAGGAATATATTCATGATTCCTTCTGAGCACTGTACACTCTGATACGGACAAGGGAACAACATTGTCAGGGGCCAAACTGGTTTATGTTTTGAGGCTGAAGCACTGCCGCATTTAAAATTCATTCTGTACTCATTAATGCGAACTGTTTTCTCCTAGACCATCTTTACGTCAAGTACGTGACGACTTTCGACCTGACCAAACACGCCGATGGCCAAGTGTACCTCGAACCAAAGAAATATAAGGTGGAATTCGATGCGAAGAATATGAAGGCCCATCTCGGAAACCTATTCAACGGCAACAAAGTGTTAGGTGAGCTGAGAACTTGCGCAGGTCCAGACCTCACCGCAGATGTCCGCAGAGGCTGATAATATGTCTGTGTGTTTCAGGGGACACCATGAACAAGTTTATCAACGAGAACTGGCGGACACTGAAGAAAGAGCTCGGGCAGCCCACGTACGACGCTCTCGGCTCCATTGCGCACAAGATCCTTAGCGACGCCGCTAGGATGGTTCCTTACAAAGATCTTTTCGATGACACAGAATAAACATGTCAAAGTTAGCAGTCTATATGACAGTGGTAACTATGAGTGCCTCATGTTTTAACATTCAAGAACACGATATTCTCCTGAAAATTATATTAGCGAGTAATCTCTCGCTTGCAGAATAAACTCCGAGTATTTCCATTTCTGAACTGGAGATGCGGTGTTTCATTGGAGACAACACCAGACTTCCTAAATGTTGTTCGGGTTACAGTCACAGCAGGGGCGTTCAAACGCAAACGGACACAGCACAGCAGAGAACAAGGACCCACAGGCATCCTGGCTCCTGCTCCTTACGGCCGATTAATCAGAAAGTAAATAGAAATACTGGTCTTTAGATGAAACAACTATCTACAGATGGCTCCCGATTATCTCTGGAACAGAGGCAATTTCGTGGAGAGTCCGAAGCTTTGTGCCGAGGAATGAGGAGCTTCTAGGAGTTTGGTGTGTTCAACCTATACAGTCGTGTGTATACAAAGGATTCAGTCTGACCGCTCTGCACAACAAAGGACATTCATTTCCGATTTGCACTCGTCCACTGTTGTTCTGCAATTTGTATCCGTATCACTGAACAGTTGAGCTGCTTCAGAGTGGCCTTACGTATGTGTATTTATACCACATGTAGCAAAGTACTCAATAAAGTTACTCACCCCACTTCTACACTCATTTGCGAGACACGCACAAACTGAACCATTCCCAACAAAAGTAAGGATACATTTGGGTTCGGGGTAAATCCTTATGTTCTGGCCGCCACGAATATAAAGGCGAATATCTTCTAGGGTGTGACTCCGTGTTTTCTGGTAGACATTTCCAAACACTAGGGAGGGACGTGCTTCGCATCTTCTTGGCAGAAGAGCAGGGGCTGTGGGCTACGAGCGAACCATCTTGAGTGCTTCTGTTTGTTTGTTGTTTAAGGACGCTGTCTGTATCAAGACTGCAAAGGGTCCTTGGTTAGAAGAATTAACGAATATGAAGAAGTTGGTGGCATGAGGACTGGCAGGGAAAAACCACCTACTAGGGAACGGTTTCGCAACGCTGGTAGCTACGTGAAGTCGATATGTTGCACGAACCAGGGCGTCACCAGTTGTGTAGGAAGTTCTGTGTAAAACTGCGGGAATTGCCTTCCCGCTAGGAATATTCCAGGCACACTGAAAACAAAGCTATTAACTGAAAGTTCTGTCTTCTTGCATATAACGACCTTTAGTCTGGTGAAAGGCAACCGACGTTTCGGAAGAAAACGAAGCTTCCAGTTTGATGAATGAATGTATGGGGGGGGGGTGCCACATAATAATCCGGTACATTGCACTGCGACCTTCAATGATCTATTGCGCTTCCCCATCTTATTAACCCTTTATTAATCCTACATTTCGAAAGCCTCCAGCTTCAGGGGCAAAGAAAAATTCGAGCAAGAAATCAGTGTGAAAGCAGGTTGAGAGCAGAGAAGGGGGCCACATGTTTCTGCAAAACATCGGTTTCATGAATGTTCAACGTAGTAGATTATGAACTTTACACTTGGACGCACGTAAGTCTGTTTGTTGCAGTGGTACTAGGACTTTGCTTTGCTTTGCGACAAACGGACGCTGAACGGAATGCCGTAGCGGTAATGGAGCAGCTCTGCCTTCGAGACACGCTCCTTCCCAATCCCGGCCGCCACATTTTACTCAGTCCCTCCAAGCAAATACCAAGACCGCTCTCTTCCAAACTGCTTTCAAATTCACCATCCCTGTCTCATCTCAGCATTCGGCGCAGTACAGGGTCTTGAAACAGCTCAATCACTTAACCTTCCATGGCAGTGTTTCTCAACCTGTGGCACTTGAGAACTCACGAATAAGAAATCCAATTAATGATTAATCTAGCAAAAAACAATATATGCCGAATTAGAGGTGTTCGCAGCGGTGCTAAGTCGGTATAGTGTCGGCCTACTTTACCCTACCTTCACAGGGCTGTGAGTCAGATCCTAACAGAAAGTTGTCTAATCAAGTTACGCCCTATCTCCCCCCGAATAGCGTCCTTCTTGAGAAGCTATCAGTCGGTCAGCAGCTCAAGACACATCCCGCCTTCTACGGATCTCCAAGTAGGCTACCGTGCCAACAACACATCCTGAGCCAGATGAATACAATCGACAATTTAATGACACTCCGAGCTCCTTAGCGTGTCTCCTCAGACTTCCCAAAGACAAAGCACTCGTGTTACGCGCACCGCTACATCAGCTCACCCTAGGAACGGCTGTCAGTTGCTCTCTCTGCCGTTCCTGAACACCTGCAGCTGGCCGCCTGTATAATGGGGCGACTTTACGTGATGGAAGCACGAATCTGGTTCGTGAAACGCGGAACAGCCATCAGGCTGGTTTGCAGGATCAAGGTGACCCGGCCAGCCGTACTTAAAGCCCCGTGATGACTGGGAAGCTCAGTCACATCCCAGAGCCACAAGCGAGAGATCGAAATGGAGAAGACCCTCGCCCTCCTCGTCACTTGCTGCTTGCTTCTCAGCGCAACTGCCCTCAAGTTACGTAAGTTCTTGTTTCTGTAAGTTCCAGTCACTCAGCTCGCCCTCCGCCGCACGCAACGGCACACATCCTCGGATACGAGCAGACAGGGCGTCGTCAGGTGCGGCGCGGGGTAACGGCCTTTATTCCAGAGAAACTAGAGTGCTCCGAAACGTCACAAAACATTAAGAAGTCAAATATTTAATGGCTCTGTTTCAAGTATATGAAATATACAGAATCGAAAGCAGTGTGTCAATTCATGTAACTGGGAATTAAATAAGCAAGGAATTCCTACCTGGATTTTTCCATCCTAACAATATTCGTTTCCTTGTATCCTAGCAACGCCAGATAAGAGTTCAGTTTGAGGGTTACAGTCTTCTGGGAAGTGACGCCACGGAGGAAACCGCTCTCTCCATCCACACGGCACAAGATTCGTCACTCTGGTTTCCCTCAGTTTCCCACACCTCCTGCTAGGTCACTCAGCAAACTCTTCCAAACCTGATTTCTACTCCTGGGGCCACTATCCCGGGCATGTCTCCCTGTAGTCATACTACTTTTTACCCAACCGACTTGCTGTTCCGCCCTGAAGACGGAAGCATTAGGATATTCCGAAACGTCGTTGCGTGTCTACCAGACTGCAGACGGTCACATTTCGGAACAAACAGAAACAGCGTGATCCTTTAGCGCTGAAGACCACAAGTTCTAATGCCAATGTTTCTATCTATAACTGATACAGATCCAAAACACACGCGTACGTTACATAGCAATAAGCAGTGGTGTCCGGACGTATTCTAACCTCCTCAAGCAATAAGCAAAGACAGTCCAGACTTCGCTGGGCAGTGTCAAGTGACACAGGAGCACTCGTGCTCTGCGTGCTTACTGTTCGCAGGTGTCACTACCGTCTGTTTGTTGCAGCTGACTACATAAAGAAATGTTCGATCAAGGACCCCAACTTCGACGCATGCGCCCTGAAGAACGCAAAGGAATCGCTTCCGAATCTAATCACAGGTGAGTGATCCTAAGCCCTTATGCCTGTGTTTCAAGCACAGGTTACGGAAACACCCGACGCCTCCCTTTGAAGTGAAATTTGTGATGTCTGAACACAGTTTGTCTCCTGTTGGCACATCCAGTCTCTTGAGACGGGCTGTTCCGTCACATGGACGAAATATCGTTTCCAATTTTTGGCGTTACATTGGAGAATAAAATTAATGAGAGTCACATGTTGTGAGCATGGGATGTAACTGGCTCACAATCGCGTAAAATGGTGAGCTTTATTAATCAGTGATGTGGAACCTCAGGGGTTAGGTATCAGTGTTAGCTACTTATAACGGAGGTTACTCAAGTCACTGATAACAACCGTCTTATGTGCAACACGTGTTTCTAAAACCTATTTAAAACTTTCTGCACATCTCGAACTTGAAGCAGATATGAAGATAATTCATCACTGCTGACGACGTACTATTACTGTCAATTTCAGGTGACACAGAGCATAAGATCCCTGTTTTGGACCCTCTATTCGTAGAAGAGTTACGTGTGGACGCCAAGACCATCAATTCGTCACTGAGGCGTGCCACAGTGACGGGATTAAAGATCGTCTCCCTGAAGAGTGTCAGGTAACAACGGGCCGCCAATATTATTGTATTATTATTATTGTGTGTTTGCAAATGTTAATACACAACAGGATGCATGCGTGTGCACATAAGCCGGGACGATTTGATTGGCAGTCACCGGGAAGAGCCGACGTAAGTTTACTCGGAAACCCAGGTAATATATTTTGGTTGAAGGTCAAAAGCTGAAGCTATCCCTGTAGCGGGCCCTGGAGGCCCGTAGGGTTGTGAGATGTTGAGGTTCCCACATTTTCTGGACGGACGGCTCACAGATGGCGGTAAGGTTGTCGGCTCAGCGCGCCGGCCGCCCTTTAGCCCCAAGGGGGGTTCCTGGTGCTCATTTCTGTTGGTGGTTGGGTCGACCCCGGGGCCATACTGCAGCTGGAGGGATTGGATAAATTGAAATAATCCAGTGACCCCACTGGGAATAGGTTCGGCTAATTTCCGTCTTGTGGCAGGGTGCCTCGACAGAGTGCACTACCGTGTGCCCCGTAATGTGTTGACAAATCGCACTAAGTGATGCAAATGCGTATGATACGCCGGATTGTTCACTGCACAGCGTCTGTATTTCTGCAATGGGCTCTACCCTTTTCTTTACAGTGACATATTTACTGTCAGTTCTATATTTTAAGATTAATAACGACTGTTGGAACGCAACCCCGAACCTTTCAAAATTAGGCAGTTATCCTGCTATCCTTATGGTTCGGTTAGGAGGGAAGTATTGTACAATATTCTCATAGAGTTTGGGGTAACCATGAAACTAGTTAGGCGGATTAAAATGTGTTTAAATGAAACATATAGTAAAGTCCGTATAGGTAAACAGCTGTCTGATAAATTTCCTATCCAGAATGGTCTAAAACAAGGAGATGCTTTATCGCCACTCCTTTTCAACTCTGCCTTAGAATATGCCATTAGGAAGGTCCAGGGAAACCAGGTGGGACTGAAACTAAAAGGGACACATCAGCTGTTGGTCTATGCCGATGATGTGAATCAACTGGGTGATAATGTAGATACCACAAAGAGAAACACACGAACTTTAATTGACGCAAGCAAAGAGGTTGGTCTAGAAGTAAACACAGAGAAAACTAAGTATATGTTACTGTCTCATCACCAAAATGCAGGGTAAAATCATGATATGAAGATAGGAAACAGATGTTTTGAAAATGTGGAACAGTTCAGATATTTGGGAACAACGGTAACAGATCGAAACCTGATTCAGGCGGAAATTAAGAGGCGACTGAACTCGGATAATGCTTGTTACCATTCAGTCCAGAAGCTTTTGTCTTCTCGTCTGCTGTCCAAAAACATAAAAATTAGAATATACAAAACTATAATTTTGCCTGTGGTTCTGTATGGGCGTGAAACTTGGTCTCTAGCATTAAGAGAGGAACATAGACTGAGGGTGTTTGAGAACAGGGTGCTGAGGAGAATATTTGGGCCGAAGAGAGATGAAGTGACAGGAGGTTGGAGAAAACTGCATAATGAGGAGCTTCATAACTTGTACTGTTCTCCAAGTATAATCAGAATGATAAAGTCAAGGAGGATGAGGTGGGCAGGTCATGTAGCACGAATCGGGGAGACGAGGAATGCGTATAGGATATTGGTGGGAAAGCCAGAAGAAAAGATACCACAGGGAAGACCAGGGCGTAGGTGGGTGGACAATATTAAAATGGATCTTAGAGAGAGAGGATGGTATGGATTGGATAGATCTGGCTCAGGATAGGGACCAGTGGAGGGCTCTTGTGAACACGGTAATGAACCTTCGGGTTCCATAACATGCTGGTAAATTCTTGAGTAACGGCAGAATTGGCGGCTGATCCAGAAGGGCTCAGCTCCATGAGTAAGTAAGTAAGCCTGTTATCCTATGCGATCTCCTTCCTGTTTCTACGACCCCCCTCCCATCCCTGTTAGGCAACGGGATATCCTCTTCGACTTGAGGAGGGATCGGCCTTTCTGTATAGGCGCTCTTACTGAGGACTTGTGGCTTTATCAATAGCAGGCCGCGCCATAGCTCGAGCGGTTGGTCGCTGGCTGCCATCGCGGCGGTCCAGGTTCGATCCCGGGTCTGGTCAAGTGGGATTTGTGGTGGACAAAGTGGCGCTGGGACAGGTTTTCTCCGAGTACTTCGGTTTCCTCTGCCAATCTTCATTCCACCAACTGCTCCACAATCACCCTCACCTATCATCTGGGGCTGGTACAATAGGCCAGAAGTGTCCGCAGTACAAGGGACTTAGTCCCAGCCCACTAGTAACAAAAAAAATGGGCCGGTCCTGGGATTCGTTATCGGCCATCTGTGGTGGTGAAGTGATGGTATTGGGTGGGGAGGAGGCCAGTACATCGTCTTCTTCTCTTCTCAATTGTTGGGCTCCAAAGAAGCAATTTTGTTGAATGCCGGTATTCAAGTAAGTCTAATAGGCGTGACAGTAATGCATACAGTGCTTGAAACTGATACGCGATTTGCCCCTCCACTGCTGAGTCTTAACGCTTTGAATAGCCAATGTTTTCTAAGATATGTACATTCATCAAATATGCCGAAAAAGTTTAAACAAACGTTGCCTGTTAGAAAGCTGATGGCAGCTGCTTTCTGGGACAGGAAAGGAGAGCTGATGGTGGAATTCATGCAGCAAGGGACCGCCGCGAAAACAGAATTGTACTGCGAAACTCTACCAGGAGCAGCTCAACTCGGAGTTGAACTGTAGGGCGCGTGAATTAACGACAGAACTACAGTATTCGCAAATAAATTCAACTGCCAACTCAAACCCCTTTGTAGCAACCGGATCATGTGACAAAATATATACATATTGTGGCATGTAAATCCGTTGGTAGGAAACGTTCGAAAAATAAGCAGCTATACAACAGCCGTTGCTAGGTGATGGCCACAAAAGACACATACGCGACAAGTGATATTTTCTGTGTGGTCCGTGCAGAGGTATTATAAGCAGGGATCGTCCAGAGTTTAGATAGTTGGGAGATGGTCGCCGGCAAGTAAGAGAGCAAACACAAAAGCTGAAGAAGCTACGGTGTTGGAAGCCGTTACCGGGCGACAAGCGGGAAAGATAATTAGATAGACCAAGAAGAATTATTGCGTGCTGTAGTGAAATGTAGGGTGTGTAAATTGGCGATAGTTCTGTAGTTACTGGTGGTTGAGAACGGTAAGTGTGCAATGAATCCAGTTACCAATCCACTTTATCACGTGACAACATACATGAACACCTCGTACAAGGGAGACAAACGCCCTGAATTGACTTTTGGCTCTCTATCCACAGGTTTGATTTCGACAAGAAATCAATCGCCGTCGAAGCCGTCCTACCAGTTCTAAACTTTACTGGTGACTACGAAGTGAAGGGCAAGCTCATTGGAATTCCCATATATGGCAACGGGCCCATGAATGCGTCGCTCTGTACGTACTCACTGCATAAGCCAGAAAGTAAATTAGTTATTTGTTGAAGAAAGCAGCCTTCTGGGATGTGGCGCCGTGTAGATATTGGATTAACCGTCGTTTCGGAGGAACGTATCGCCTCCATCTTGAGGGTAGAAGACTCGACATTAGTCTGTTAGCACCTGCTCACGCTGGTTCCTTGTTCGCGGATTTTCCTTTTTCTTCTACCCTGAAGATGGAGGCGATATGTTCGTCTGAAACGTCCTTTAACACAATGTCTACACGGCGCCATATCCCAGAAGACTGCTTTCTTCATAGTCACCGCCGCGAAAACCTCAAATCTTAAATAGTTATTTGTTGGTGTTTGTTGGGAGACAAAGAATGTACAAGGTCTCACAGAACTACGTATAAAACGAAAAGGGAAATCACAGATTGGCAATCCGAACTTTAGCTTATGTTAACACGACGGGGGACCCCCGAAGGCACAGGGCATGTCCCTCAAAATTTTTGCAGCTTCAGTGCGTAACGTCAGAACTTCACTTCGGCTGCTCGGCTGACGCCGTGCACTAGGCCGGCCTGAAATGGGAACACACTCTCGAGGGGCTATCGCTTGCTGACTGCTGTCGAGAGGCGTCAGAAAGCGAGACTGGAACGCGTTGATGTAGGAAGCCATGCCGTATATTGGGCGGCAGGACCAGAAACAAGAAGGTATAAGAGAAATACGAATTGAGATCATTTATTACTGGGTTCTGGAGTGTGACACAGACAAATCTGGTACGTAGTTACCAACGTTTTGGGGAACTTACTGCCTCCATCTTCAGGGAGAAAACAGAATGCCAAGTCAGTCACATTACGACCGACAGTCTTTATATCAAGCCGAGAACAGATTTTCCTTACTATCAGATAGTTGGGGCTCTGTCGATGTGAGGGGATCACAGTTTGCAGTACGTGCCATCTATATTTGCAGTCTTACATGTAGGCATTCTACATGGCCAGTCGTCAAAGAGTCCGGTTCCTTGAGGCTACATTCTATTTACAGTTTTACATGTAACTGTAATATACAGAATACAGACTCCTTCTGTCAGTCTAGGCCGGGACAGCAGATCATGCCCAAACCCATGTAGCTCATGCTACAACGGCAGCCTAGCCAAGCGTAAGCCTCCTCCAATGTCGCGGACGTCTACATTTTCGTGATTTCGTACGAACTGCGCTGGTTGCTTGCAGATGCGCGGTGCTCACAACCCGTATGCAACTCTCGGACAGGTGTGAAACCTGGAAATTGCAGGCGCTGCAAGTTTAAGCAAATTCCCAGGAGTGGCAAGCATAAACTTGATACAGGGTCAGAATCTCTCAACTTGGAATAGGGAACAGACTGAAGCCCTAGGGTGCGGTCACTTCTGTATGCAATTCCCATGTAACCGAGATTCTACAGGGCTCAGAATTACTGGGGCTTGGGGATTCGTTTATCGCCCGGTTTCTGTCTTCAGGTGAAGGGGAAGACACCTACCGAGTTGGGTCCCTTGGAAACAGGTTAGGTGTACGAAGCGCCGGTATAGCTCAAGTCGGTACAGGGACTAGCTACGGGCTGGACGAGCGAAGAGTCGGAGTTCGAGTCCCGGTAGTGTCAAGAATTTTCCCTTCTCCATGTTGTCCAGACCGGCTCTGGGGTCCACCCAGCCTCCTATCCAAACCGGGGGCTCTTTCCTCGGGGGTAAAACGGGGTAAAACTCACCTCCAACTTGTGACGAGGTCAAGTAAATATGGATCTATACACCCACTGCCCCATACGCCTTCATGGCGTTGTGCTTAATTAGTTAAGTACAGGGACAGCTTTACCTTGCCTCATGAGGAGAATGGCTGGGCCGGGGCTCACAACGAATCAATTGAAAAAAGGGAACAGTGCACAGAAGAGTGGGCCCTTATAGGGGCCCATTTCCAGGACCCACACATAAGTGCGACAGTGTGAGAAGGCGTACGAACTGCTTGCGTTCTTCTTAGGGCAACTAACTAAGCTTCCAAGACGCCAGAGTGTCGGGAATAGCAAGGCGCATGGCCGGAGTCTGTAAACGCTCAAAGCGACCTTCTCCTACCGGATTTTGTTCCTATAAAGTCTCCTTGATAATCTGGGGAACTTACCAAGTTGTCCCTTTCCAGCAAAATGAATCTGGGTACGGAGGTACAGCTGCACTCATTCTTAATTTAGGCATTACATGGAGGGGTAGTCAGCTTCGCCCCTCGACGGTTTTACCTTTCGGAGAACGCAAACCCCGAAAATCGTTGTACTGGGCCATGAAACGGGAAGGATTCAGGTTTGCATTTGGGATGTCCCTGGTTCTAACATCAGCCCGGACACATGTGTTGATGGAGATTGCCATATTTTCCTCAGTCCCTCCATACAAAAGCAGAAACAGGGCCTTCAATCATACCAGCACCATTTCCTTCCACATCCTTGCCAATTCACTGAATGACCAGCCCATCTTGCGACGCCGCACGCACTGAGGTAAAGAACTGAAGGCTCTGGGGTGGGTGTCCCCAGGCAAGCTGGTTATGAGGTAGCACAGCCCTTAACTTAGTCTCACTGACGTCACAATTATCTCCATGCTGCTCCAGATAATACTAAAGGAAATTACCGGACAACTTACGACCTGGCCAAACTCGATGACGGCGAAGTGTACCTGGTTCTTCAGGACCACAGGCTGACGGTGGACCCAGCGCACGCAACAGTGGAACTCGGGAACCTGTTTGGCGGAAACGAAGTTCTGGGTGAGCTGAAACAACTGACTCCAGTTCCAAGTCCAACCACATGACTGCGAAGAGACTGATAGTATGTCTGTGTTTCAGGATATTACGTGAACAAACTCATTAACGCGAACTGGCGGGCAGTGCTGAAACAACTTGGAGAGTCGATAAACGAGGCCTTCGGCCTCACCATACACAGGATCTTCAGCGAAGCAGCGAAGACTGTACCTTACAAGGACTTTTTCGATGATATAGAATGAACAAGCTATCACATTGCAATTTAACCCTTTACATATCATGGCAATTATATATACTTACTTACTAATGGAGCCGAGCCTTTCTTGAGGAGCCGTCAATTCTGCAGCTACTCAAGAATTTCTTAGCATGTTGTGGAACCAGAATGTTCATTACCGTGTTCACAAGAGCTCTCTACTGGTCCCTATCCTGAGACAGACCAATCCAATCCATACCATCCCATCCTATCTCTGTAAGATCTATTTTAATATTGTCTACCCACATACGCCTTGGTCTTCACAGTGGTCTCTTTCCTTCTGGCTATCCCACCAATATTCTATATGCATTCCTCATCTACCCCATTCGTGCTACATGCTCTGCCCACCTCACCCTCCTTGACTTGATCATTTTAATTATACTTGGAGAAGAGTACAAGTTATGAATGTCCTCATTATGCAGTTTTCTCCAACCTCCTGTCACTTCATCCCTCTTCGGGTCAAATGTTCTCAACACTCTGTGGCAAATATATACATACATACATACACACATATATCATTCTTTAACGTTAAATCGTAGCTCCTAGCAATCTAGTTTATCTGTGTGATTTTGTTTTTCCTTACAATATTTATTACACCCATAAATATCGCTATACACTTGGTCGTCGACTTACGACCGACTTCCGTTGTGACTGACAAGTCGTAAGTCGATCTGGTGGTATGTCGGCCCTATATTTACTAACAGTATTTAGTAACCTTTCTAATCTTTCTATCATCTTTATAATTTATTTTTAAAAACTTTTACATTTTAATCATCTTTTATTTTTCATTTTTTTGTGGTCGTAACTCGACGACCAAGTGTAATGGATACGCGCCTACCGACTTCGCGCCTGCACCGCGCCCAACGTCATGAGGCGGCAGGAGCCGACATCCTCACATCTGCTGCATGGCTGCACACTTCCATAAGACAGACATGCGTACAAAATCCCGCCCGTACCGTCCACATTATCCTGTGGGCAGTGAACACGCGTCTGCTGCCTCACAAACAAAATTCCTAAACTTATTTTAAGGGAGAGGCATACGTACAGAACATTAACAGTACATTCTCAGAGTTGGGTCGAAAGTCGCGGGGCGGCCGCTGTGACAGAACATGATGACTACAAGACTGCGCACCAGAGGGCCCGATGGGCGTTGCCTATGCCACTTTGGCATTTACTTCATTTCTTTTCAATTACACAGTCGACATTCTCTACACTTGGCACTTGAAAGCTCAGAATGTAAGCAAGGAACACGGCCGCAAGCGAAAACGCACAGCTCTGTGGCTTGCGGCGTGACCGCTGGAACTTCTGAGTAATGTCTGTGTGTAGGAGCGGGCAAGAGGTTCCAAGACTGTGCCAACACGCCCTCCGGCTACACATACTCGTATGTTTCAGTAATTGTACAGGTGTCATAGCTCAGGCGGTGACTCGCTGGCTTCCCGACGCAGCGGCCCGAGTTCGAGCCCAGGTGAGGTCAAGTGCATTTGTGGTGGACAAAGAGAAACTAGAACAGGTTTCATCCGAGTACTTCGGTTTCCCCTTCCAATTCTCATTCCACCGACTGCTCCACACTCATCATCTTTCATCTGGGGCTGGACCAGTAGGCCAGTCAAGTGGACTCAGTCTCACCCCACCCCAAGAATTGAAATCAAGCCAACGAGACGTTTAAGACGTGAAGTGGAGACATAAACTGTTTCCTGTTTCGCGGAACGGAAGCAACAGGACAACAAAGCACGCAATGCCAATCTGTACGGTAGCCACAGCTGTACAAGCGATATGCAAGTAGAGAAGTGAAGTGTTACAACTGCTCAATCCGAATATTGCTCCTTTCAAGTTCTAGCCAATATGCACTCTGCGGTCGCGACAAGGAGAGCAGCCATACCGCGGGCGCTTTGTCACGAGCTCCGCATCCCGGAGGCCAGGGTTCAAACTCTGGTAAGGTCATGTGGGATATTCGCTTCCGACGCAAGGCGAGGCACACTATGGTCGGTGCTTTCCGGGCGTTACGGTTAACTGCAAATTCCTCAGTTTGTTTGTTCATTGTACAGGTCCTCGGTTTTATTCGTAACAGAGTTCCATGATTATGATTACTGAATTCATTCGTCTGATAGTTATTCATAATCCGCTTTTAATTTTACGATCTTCATTGTTACTGGTAATTGTAGTGCAATGTCTACATCGGAGATCAAGAAGAGCCGTGCCAACATTTGTGTCAAATTAGGGTCTTCTTGTGTATCCCGACAGCAGGGGCGTTACCCTGTCACTATGAACGGCAACTTGCAAGCAAACAGATAAACACATTCACACGGCGGCGCGTGTTGGCACAAACAGCGGGAAGGGGGGGGGGGGAGTTTTGAAAAATGAAAATAAATGATTTACTAAAAACAAAAGTCTGGTTTTCAAATGGCCGCTGGCAGGCAATATGCAGTGGCGATCAGGCTGGTATGCAACCTCAAGGTGACCCGGCCAGCCGTACTTAAAGCCCCCGTGATGACTGGGACGCTCAGTCACATCCCAGAGCCACAAGCGAGAGATCGAAATGGAGAAGACCCTCGCCCTCCTCGTCACTTGCTGCTTGCTTCTCAGCGCAACTGCCCTCAAGTTACGTAAGTTCTTGTTTCTGTAAGTTCCAGTCACTCAGCTCGCCCTCCGCCGCACGCAACGGCACACATCCTCGGATACGAGCAGACAGGGCGTCGTCAGGTGCGGCGCGGGGTAACGGCTTACCGCTGTAGGAAATGAAGCTACTCGAGATTATCTTCGGGTGAGTAATTCTGACCAGGCCGATTCGAATTTACTAAAGATACGGAGGAAAGATTGGAGGCAACACTTTCCCCGAAACACCTATAACTATCAGACTACAAGGCGTCACAATCCTGGAGACAGAAATCCTCATATTCTGCGGTGATAATATTGCCTCACGACCGCCCTGGTCAAAGCCTCATTATGAAACTGTGATATTTCAAATGAACAAAATACGTGGGTTCAAATGCGGTGTGAAAATCTAAATGATTTCAATGTTCAGTTTCTGTCTCCCAGGAAGCGGAGGGCACAAGTGACCCTACTTCGTTACTCACCCACCAAATTTCCAGCCTACGAGTACTCCATACACGAAATGCGTCGTAAATGAACCATAAACGGCTGAAGGCGCAGCGCTCTGGTCACTATTATCATTATTATTATTATTATGACATTACATAACATTACTGTAATTATTACAATTACTATTATCATTCGATTTCATACAAACTTCGTGTACTCGGAATTTTGTCGGAAACAGAGTAAAAAGAGCATTAGTTCATAGGATGTGCCGCCGTGTAGTCTGGTGGAACTTCGCCGAAGATATGCTAAGCAAGGAGTTCTCAACACTCTACCAGACTACACGGCACCACATCCCTAACAACGGTGTGAGCCCTTCTGGTTCTTCTGCTAGACGAAACTGGGAGCTAAGATTGCAACGTCCGTGCTCCAGTGGGGTTTGAGGCTTCCGCTCGGTCAGTGTGGGAGCGCACACGCCACTTGACAGGACATGCAGAATGCACTCAAGGCCAGCTGCAGCTGACTTGGGTACCAACTGTAAACTAAACACTATGCCATGAAGGCGTATGGGGGAGTGGAAGTACATACCCACGTTATCATTGACCTCGTTATTAGTTTGAGAGGAGTTGTCAGTTTTAACCCTAGGGAAGGAGTCCCTATTAATCTCAAGATAGGAGGCTCACACTGAGGGGCCTAACGGCTGCGCAACGGCTCCACATTGAGGGAGGTGGCCTCGGACGGCGCTTACCCAGTCCTCTTACATCAAGACCTGCCTTGACTGGAGACCAAGGCTCACACGACTGTCGAGTGTGAAAGGCCTCAAGCTAGGCAACACCACTGCAGCTGGCCTCCTGCAGAGTTGCTTAGTATCAGAATGCCAGACGCTCAGGAACGCGCTGTGCCCACAGGATTGGTAGTGCTTGCTGCATGGATCATAAAATAACATTCTTAACGAAAACCCGATTATATGCCTTTATCTTTACAATACTAAAATATTACATCAAGGGGAAACCCGTTTTCATATACGTGATAAGGGGCCATGAAGCCCTGTATAGTACGTTCTCTTATTACAGTAAAATACTGAAATCGGCCACAAAATACAACGCACGTGTCTGACATAAACCGATATGACAACTTTAACCACCAAACAAACAACTTTAGAATTACGAGCATGTATCTACATTCCAGGTTGGCATTTCTCGTGGCTGCTTAAGGCAGTCCCCTCATAGAAACTACCCTCCTCGGGGCGTGGAGTNACAAACTACGTGGTTTTAGTCCGCAAGCGAACTATACCGACCGAGAGACCGTCGCTTGTTGGCGAAGTTAGTGTCAACTTTAGCATATAGAGGATGTCACGTGGTCAGTGCAACGAATTCCCACGGCCGTTAATTTCAGTTATCTAGACCGTAGCCGCTATTTCCTTGAAATAACTCCTCAGTTATCCTCACGAGGCTGAGTGGACACCGTTCCAGACCAACTTCTTCTCAGAAAAAATCTTGTAGCGCAGGGAATCGGACATTCATAAAACTAATTTCCCATTACTTGTCAATTTTAGCGAGACCAAACCCAGTGCTACGAAGCTGGCTGGTCACCCTGACGACAAGGTCACTGCCAGTGAGTGACCTCAGGGCTATCCTGGTCCACCTACTCCTCACCTCCTCAGTGCACTTGATGGCCTTCATGTGGACCCAGCGGGTCTGAACATTTAAATACTTGCGTGACTAAGAAACCGTCCTATGATTCTCGATCTGCAGTTTTTATTCGCCCTTCCTTACTCAGTCTGGCGTTCCTCAAGGTTCAGGTTTGCGAACTCTGTTCTAAAATAAGTGCATTAATGCTTTGTGTATCAAAACCAAACCTTCGTGTTTTCTTCTTCTTGCTGACCATGAAAATATTGTTTTTTCATGACAGACTTGTTTTGCATCACGTTAATCGTACGGAGCATAATTCTGGTCAAACAACTTACCCCTATCTCCAGAGAGTATAATTATAATGTGCTGTCTCATATATCATGTCATTTGAGGACACACTGCGCTAAACACCTTGCGGTTTTCCTAGTGTCTAAACTGAAATTACAAAAGAATGTTGATTTGTTGATCTGTTCCCTTCATCAGGCAATTCTCCGTTACTTTAAGTGATTCAAGGTTGCTCTGAACTTCCCGCGGTTGCTCCGTTTCCAAAATGAATCCTCAGATGTGACGGAAGGAAGGACTGGGAGCGCGACCCGTGGTGCTGCCACTGCAAGGGGGCCCCAGCACGACAATGAGGGACATTCCTGTACACAACGTTCCGTGTAGGCTCACGTCAAAGTTACCCTGAAGCAAGCAGAACCGTATAGAGGTGAATGGCAGAGCGCCCTTGTCATACACATCCTGTAAATTCGTGACAGACACATCGTGCATTGTGCTGTGGTTAACTGCAACGGCGCCGACCGTGTGCGGCACAGAGGTAGCCGTGAACGGCTGCGCGGCGGAGTGCGCAAACACAGTTACGGGCACGACGAATTCAAGCAGGGAAGCATAAGTTGTCGAGTTTGCGGATCTAAATAACGCTACACTTGGGAGCTTATCTCTAGAATATGAGATGCAATAATAGGCACAACATAACTAACGTGTGAGGTGATGGAACTAGTGACTATGAATGGCAGTGCGCATCCAGACAGCAGGGCCTCTCCAACTCTGCAACTTGCAAGCAAACAGTTAAACACATTCACACGGTGGCGCGTGTTGGCACTAACAGCGGGGGGGAGGGGGTGGGGGGGAAGCGAAATGAAGCTAACGAATACAACACTGCACAGTACACAACGGAAGGTGATAAACAGGGCTAAGCGACGGACGAGATGATGAAAGGAGAAGAGGGAACGCGGAAAGAGTGGGATCTCCGAGGAGAACAGACATGAATATATTGAGAATATGTTCAGTACAGACAAACAAGATGGGAACTGTGGTGACGTACGAAAGCAACAGCTTTGCAGAGTAAAATGTAACCAGAAGGAGGCCGTACTCAGGTCCACGGAGAGACATCTCTTCTTGACGGAACTTAAACAATCGAAGTGAAAACCTGTCTTTCGCATCAGACAAATCCCTTCATCTCCACAAGAACATGACAGACCTGCCTGGAACTTCACAACTTCCAGGACATTAGCGAGAAGTTATGTGAAAATCTGCAGGACCTGCACATTGCCGGAATGACGCATGACATGGCTATTTCTACATTTCTCTGTTACCCAAGAAACGTGAAAGAAGAGATCAATTGGACTCTTCCACTTAGAGGCAGACGTAGAAGACTATAGAGTCCAGTGTTACGCGTGTCAAAAGTTCGGCCATAAAGCGCAGTGTACACTCTCAGCGCGAAATGAAACTCATGCGGGGCAACAGGTTCACAGGAAGAGAAGCAAGAACAAATATATACAGAGACCACAACAAGCTTCTGCCAAGCATTCAAATGTAAAGAAACAAAATGAGCCCCAACCTCCCTCAGCCTTCCTCAAGCTGCAACTAACATAACCCCCCCCCCCCCAAANTCACGCCCCACGACAATCCGTCAACATACGATACAGAGAGGACGGAAACTCTTTCTCAGCTTAGCAAAGAAACATCCTCCATCATCCAGGGTTGCAATTTCAGAGTGCAATCGTTCGGACGGGTCAAATCTACTGCAGGCGAAACCACACAGGACCTACCAACCAAATACTGGCCTGCACAAGGACGCAGACCGTCAAACGGAGGTAGAAGTAGCCGAGCAGTAACATCCACATTTCATCACAACAAAGTAAACCTACCACAACTTACAGCACTTGAGTTACAGCCGAATATATCCTAACCAGGACAAGGACTTATACGCCACACCCAACGGACCACTTGTTGCCCACGATCTGCCGGCACTCACCCAGTACACGCAGAACGCCGTGGCATTCCTGTCGGACAAACGCAGGGCCGCTCTCCAAAACAACAACGAAATCACGGATCCACATCCTCCCACACACTTCCCGGACCGGGCGTCCTCGACACGGCCGTTACAAAAACCTCAGCTGTACCGCAGAAGCAGTAAGCTCCGATCTCAACCCAGTTACACTGGTTATGGGTCGGGAACCACATGAAACAGGCAGCTGCTGAAACAAACGCGACCAGAATGTCAGTCGAAGAAATAGACGCTGCAATAATCATATTCACATTAACAATACAGGTCAGCCAAAAAACGCCTCAAAACTATACAATACGGACCTGCCTACAGACCCGGCCATTCCCTGTGTCGCGGGCGTAATGCCAAGAAGGGGTAAGCAAGAGGAAGCATACCTTTGTATTCTCTTGCACAGCAGGCGAGAAGACAAAAGCTTCTGGACTGAATGGTAGCAAGCATTGCAAGAGCTCAGGCTCCCCTTAATTTCAACCTAAATAGAATTCTGATTTGTTACAGTCGTTCCCAAATATCTGAACTGTGCCACATTTTCAAAACATCTGTTAGTTATCTTTATGTCATGATTTTGCCCTGCATTTTGGTGACGAGACAGCAACATATACTTAGTTTTCTCTGTGTTTACTTCTAAACCTACCTCCTTACTAACGTCACTTAAAGTCTGTGTGTTTGTCTTTATGGTATCTACATTATCACCCAGTAGATTCACATCATCAGAATAGGCCAACAGCTGATGTGTCTCGTTTAATTTCAGTCCCACCTGGTTTTCCTAATGGAATATTCTAAAGCAAAGTTGAAAAGCAGTGGCGATAAAGCATTTCTGTGTTTTAGACCATTCTGGATAGGAAATTTATCAGACAAAAGTTTACGTATATGTGGACTTTACTGTATGTTTTGCCTAAACACATTTTAATCAGGCTGACTAGTTGCATGGGTATCCCAAATTCTATCAGAATGTTGTACAGTACTTCCTTCCTAACTGAATCATAGGCTTTCTTCAAGTCTACAAATTGCTGATGTACTGTCTCATTGTACTCCCACATTTTCTCCAGAATCTGACGAATGCAAAAGATCTGATCAGTAGTTGATCTGCTATGTCGAAACCACATTGATGATCCCCATAATTGTTATCTATACATGGACTTAATTTCAGAGAAGAATATTGGATAACATTCTTGTATGAAGTTGATAGCAGTGATATCCCTTGGTAATTAGCTCAGTCGGTTTTATGGCCCTTCTTGTGAACTGGTACAATAAGAGACTCTGTCCACTGATCAGATAATTCTCCCTTATTCCAAATAGAATTAATTTGGCAATACAAATAGACAGATACGAGTACTGCAATAATTGACAAAAAAGAAAAAGAGACGTGTTTCCCAAAACAGGGCAAGGATAATCGAAAGAAGCAAAGTGTTTGTGGATATACCTCGAGAGAAGAGTAGCACAGAGATCAGACGTTACAGCAATGCAACGCTTTGTATCGCCGCTCTCCATCTTATGCTTGCTGAAATGTACGTGGTAAGCGGAGAAGTCTTCGAGAAAGAAGGATTTCGGAAATGGCTTGAACAATATCGACGTAGGAATTCCTATTACGACATTAAGACGCAAGAACAAAGAGCAGTGGCAAAAGTATCAGTACATGTGTAAATATAAACGGGAGAAGGCGACAATAAATAAAGAAAGGCAAGTAGAGCAAGGATAAGAAATGTAGCAAAAAAAATCTAGTTTTCGGCAGGCGGCTGGCACGCAATATGCAGTGGCGATCAAGGTGACCCGGCCAGCCGTACTTAAAGCCCCCGTCATGACTGGGAAGCTCAGTCACATCCCAGAGCCACAAGCGAGAGATCGAAATGGAGAAGACCCTCGCCCTCCTCGTCACTTGCTGCTTGCTTCTCAGCGCAACTGCCCTCAAGTTACGTAAGTTCTTGTTTCTGTAAGTTCCAGTCACTCAGCTCGCCCTCCGCCGCATGCAACGGCACACATCCTCGGATACGAGCAGACAGGGCGTCGTCAGGTGCGGCGCGGGGTAACGGCCTTTATTCCAGAGANGGGCGTGGGGTAACAGCTTCCCTCAGTAAGAAATGAGGCTAGTAACGAGGGTTGTCCTCGGGGAAGTGATGATGTACGGTATGGTGCGAAGTTACAGACGTTAAGCAGGACGGCTCGGAGCCAAGTTTCTCCGAAACGTCTGTAAACACCAGGCTACATGGCATTACACCCCAGAAGACAGGCATATTCGTGTCCCGCCAGTACAACCTCTACACAAGACTGCACTGAATACACTGATTATAAAACTGTAATATTATAAATGCAGCGTGACAATGAATAAATGTTTACCTTGATAATATGAAACTACACCGCGACTGGTCCTGCCGTGCCCGCAGAAACCCTCAGCGCAGCTGCAAATCAAGCAACAGTGCAAAACACTTCCATCAGCTTTTCTCGTAGTTACGGACACTCTCACCGTTACACTAACATATTAAAGTGATATATTAGAAATAAAATTAATTTCATATACGAGATAACCAAGCGGGTCATGAAGCCCTTCACACCACGTTCCCTTACTACAGTATGTTAGTCAAATCGGCCACAAAATGCAACGCACGTGCCTGACATAAACCGATATGACAACTTTAACCACCAAACAAACAATTTTAGAATTACGAGGATGTATCTACATTCCAGGTTGGCATTTCTCGTGGCTGCTTAAGGCAGTCCCCTCATAGAAACTGCCCTCCTCGGGACGTGGAGTCCCCATCCCCCGGTGGCAATGTAACAGATTGAAGCTTCTGCTGCGTGTGAGGATCCTCGCGGGATACTCACCGCTCACCTCTGCCCATTTACTGAGGAAGATTTCAATTCTTAGTTTCTCGGCGCAGCCATTCCCTGCAACAATCTTACCGGTCTCCTAAGCACGCAACACAGTAGCTGTTGGTAGTTACAGGCCTATTGCATCTCTCAACGCTTCATCCAAGGGTTACGAAATTGTCATTCAAAAAACTACTTTCCCGTTAGTTTTAATTTCAAGTTGAATTCTTCTCCACATGATTTTAGCGAGACCAAACACAGTGCTACGAAGCTGGCAGGTCACCCTGACGACAAGGTCACTGCCAGTGAGTGATCTCAGGGCCATCCGAGTCCACCTACTCCTCACCTTCTCAGTGCACCTGATGGCCTTCATGTGGGCCCAGGGGATCTGAACATTTAAATACTTGCGTGACTAAGAGACCGTATTATGGTTCTCCATCTGCAGTTTTTCTTCGCTTTTAGGCAGTCTGTGTTCCTCAAGGTTAAGGTCTGCGAACTCCGTTCTAAAATAAGTGCATTAATGCTTTGTGTATCAAAACCAAACCTTCGTGCTTTCTTCTAAGTGCTGACGATGAAAATATTGTTTATTCATGACAGACTTGTTTTGCATCACGTTAATCGTCCGGAGCATAATTCTGGTCAAACAACTTACCCCTATCTCCAGAGAGTATAATTATAATGTGCTGTCTCATATATCATGTCATTTGAGGACACACTGCGCTAAACACCTTGCGGTTTTCCTAGTGTCTAAACTGAAATTACAAAAGAATGCTGATTTCTTGATCTGTTCCCTTCATCAGGTAATTCTCTGTTACTTTAAGTGATCCAAGTTCGCTTTGAACTTCCCGCGGTGGTAATTATGAGAGGCGTCATCTCCCGCACTGTGACGCCGTGTAGCCTGATAAAGCGTGCAGATATTTCCTACGAACCTGATGGTTATATATTCAAGCTACACAAAAAAGCAGAATACAAGAAAATACAGCGTCTCCCATCGATAGTGGTTGTTTTACTCTTACACCTTGACGAAGGAGGGAGTATATTCCTCTGAAACGTCAATAAATTTTTACCATGAAGCATGCTGCCACTTCCCGATAGATACACGTAGTATTCTTCATAGCTCAAGGATAACATGGAAAGATCGCATAACAACCAAATCGTAACGCGTCCAGAATTCCATTAAGAGAAATTCAAACGGAATGCAACAATTGGAAGCCCTACAGAGACAGGAAGGAGAACTGTATAAAACGTACCTTAGAAAAATATGTCACAGTGTATGGAGTGGATTCATCTGGCTGAGAACCTAGGAAAAATTGCGGGCTGTATTAAGGGCGGTAATAAATTGGAGGTTCCATGACACCCCGAAATTATCTTGAGCCCTACACCGACGCTCAGTTTCCGCACACGTCAGCTCTGTTTCTCACGTGCCGTCACTGATTCGTTTCAGCTGACTTCGTGAAGAAATGCTCCTTGAAGGACCCGGAATTCAACGCCTGTGCCTTGAAGAACGCAAGGGAAGCACTTCCTCATATCGTGAACGGTAAGCATCCGACTGTTCCCAGCCCTGCAACTGCGCACAAACGGCAGCCACTCGGCGCGTGTTCACACACAAGGATATGTAATGTCCTTCGTCGTATTTATAGTCCGGCCGGGCTGAGGCGTCGGTACGTGCCCAAACTGACATTCGTGGCTTCTTCGGAAACATAAAAACAAAAGAGAAGAGCGACTCGTGCCGAGGGTTGCATAACCGGGACTCGATGTCTCTAGTGAGTGAGATTTCGGAGGAATATATTGTTTCCATCTTCACAGCAAGACAAATGAGCAACCAGCCAGAAGGAAATAGCAAGCACACTCGCTGCCTTTACTTCACTGCAGGTTTGCTCCATAAGTCTTACCTGCCACTGAAGCAGCAGAATCCTCCGAAACGTCACTGAACCTCTACACGAGTACACGGTGTTCCATATCGGATTACAGTAATTTTTTATTCGAAATTTCATTGGCGAAAAAGTTGTCAGCAATCGGCATTTCGGGAAAACTTGCTGACTTGCCATACGATCATTCTGATTACTGCATATTATTGGCAACATACAACACGCATGAGAGAATATACACGTATACCTCGAACAAATTCTCAAAAGAAAAAACCAGATTGAGAGATACCACTTGAAAGGCAGTCTCAAACGTGAGAATAATATTAAAACTGATCTTAAGGATAGATTATGGAAGAATGTAAGAATGTACATTGGATTAGTTTTGCTTAGGATGGCTGTCAGTGGTGGTTCCAAAAATGTGATTGAAATTGTCTAGCTGAGCAGCCATTACATTTACAGATATGAACATGTATTCCTTGCTGTACAGCTGAGTGACGGCGTATGTATATTTCAGGACTAAAAAAATTCCAAATCCCGGTCCTAGATCCATTGATTGTGGAGGAGATAAGAGCGGTAGATGGACAAATCGACATGGCTGGCCTGAACGTCAGAGTGGAAGGGATACGGAACGCCATTCTGGAGAGCATCAGGTAACCTCGTGTTGTTCTGGCCGCGTGCAGCTCACACTCGGTCATCTCCTACTGGACTAGAGTTCTCCGGAGTATGACACCGTGTAACCTGGTAGAAACTAGCCGGAAACAGATCCACACTGAGCTCAACTTCCGCCTCTTTTTCATACATTCGTCCCTGACGATGGAGGCAATATCTTGAATGAATGTATAAGGGGTGGGCCTTCTCAGCTCTTGCACCGCGACCTACAGTGGTCCCTTGTTCTTCCCCTTTTGATTATGCCCTCAGCAAACCTGCGCTTCCAATGAAGCGCGGAATTCTGTACGTGGGGACGTCGAAATAGTCACTTGGTTCCATAACGTATTGACCCATGTAACATAATTTTAAATAAGCAATATGTTAGTCCCAATGTCGGTAAAGTTATAGGACTACACGGCGTCATATCAGCTGACCTAGGTCGCATCCAGCCCGCGAGTTCTGCGAGGCTGGCTGGCATCGTCACACAGACCGCTCTAACACTCTGTCCGTCCACAGTTTTGATTTCGACCAAAAGAAGATCGCCGCGGAGGTCGTTGTTCCAGAAGCACACTTCTCCGGCCGGTACGAGGTGAAGGGTAAACTCCTGACGCTGCCATTGTCCGGCAACGGACCTTTCAACTCCACCTTCTGTAAGTGACTTCATTCCACCGCCTTATTCGAGACACAATATAACGTTATCTACTCCGAAGGACAAATTACTAATTCTTAATGACAGAAAACGCTTCGTAACGGTGAGATGAAATCTCTGAAATGAAGCAATTTCTGTTCCGTTTCATGAAGTGTGTGCTTTTCTACAGCGTCACGAAAACGGAGAAGAATAGTCTGGAGAAACATCGACCAATCAAGTTTCGGGTCGAGCTGGGCAGGGCGTTACCGACCTCTGCGAACAGATTCACGAAGCCATTGGAAACGGTTCCCTATCGCGTGCTCAAATATTTCGGTGACACGAACAACTTGTAAACGAGCTAGAGAGAGGGGAACATGAACCGAAAGTTGCACGCCCCGCTCCTGGCAGATCAAGCACAAACGTCGATTCTGTAATGACGTTTCATAATTCCAATTATAGCCGATTTACTTAATATTAATGTATGTACGGTTCACCAAATTGTTTCACGAGATTTGGACGTGAGAAAAGTATTTATAAAGATGATTTCAAAAAACTTTAATAGCGACCATTGTCGGCAGAAATGTTTGGACTGTTCGAAACTGAACCAGATTTTCTGCACTAGATCATAACAAGAGACGAAATTTGGTTTTCCCAATACGTCCCTGAGGAATATCACAACCACAATCTCCGAGACACAAGAAAACTCTCTTGCGCAAATCAAACATCAAGGCAACTGACACCATTTCCTTATATTCTCGCGGGGTAGTTCATTTTTTTTTTGTTTTATTATTGCAAATTTACAATCTACTCCATAGTAACAATATGAGTAATTAGTAAATGGTTTAAATGGGTAGTTCATGAAGAACTTGTACCACCTGGAGTCGCGGTGAATCAAAACTTTTATTTTGAAGTCAGAGAGGGCGTGATGTGAGTTCGAATGGAAACTGCAGAGGGCTGCATCCCTCGAGCTTCAGTACGAGAAAGCGACTGCGCACACAAAATTATCAGTTCGTGAATTTTTCTTGCGAAAAAGTATATTCCCGTGTTTCTGCAGTCCTCCTATTCTGCAAATTTATCGCCTTGTGGTTCTCAGTTCTTCACAAAATTAAAATCCAGAGTCAAAAGCTACGGTTTCCAAACATTAGACATCGTACAGGAGACTTTACCCGACCGCATCACAGCCCTACAACGTTCGTTTGGACGATTTTTTTTTATTTAACTCCAATAATTATACAATCTATCCATTAAGTGTGGATAATAAGTAAATTTTGTGGTTAATTTGAATATAGCAAAAGGAAAGAGAGTACTTGACGTGGTGAGCATATTCCAATGAACATGCTCAATACTTATTTTAACTGCTTAGTAATATGCAGTTAAGTGTTGTATTATTCGAATCTGGTGGGCAAATCCGACGGTTTAAATCTGTTTAGCCTCCTGATCTCCCCTTCGTTGTCGAGTAGTTTTTGTGCCAAGTTGTTCGGATGGGCTTAGAGTCTGATTTTATACTTTTTGCTGTTTTTTTTTTATTTCCTCTCGTACTGTTGGTACATCTAGGTCCTTATGTAGTACAGTGTTCGGCACATACCGCGGTGCGTTAACTATTATTCGTAATACTTTGCTTTGAAATCGTTGGAGAATTTCTATGTTTGAGTTACTGGCTGATCCCCATAATGGTATCCCGTACGTCCATATCGGTTTGAGCATGGTTTTGTACAGTAAGATCTTGTTTTCTGTCGATAGCTCCGACTGCCTTCCCAGCATCCAATACATCTGTCGGAATTTTATTCCGAGTTGTTTTCTTTTGGTGTGAATGTGTTTTTGCCATGTCAGTCGTTTATCCAGGTGTATACCAAGGTATTTGGCGTCTTCCGCTTGTGGTATCTGAGAGTGATTTAACGTTACTGGAGGACAGGTAGTGCGTTTCATGGTAAACGTTACATTCGTAGACTTATTTTCATTTGCCTTCATACGCCACTTTTTCAGCCAGTGTTGAATTTTATTTAGGTGGTCTTGTAAGTTCCTGGATGCGGATAGAGGATTGGTATGAGATGCCAGGATAGCTGTGTCATCTGCAAACGTCGCTGTTGTTGTCTTTCTAGTTGTTGGTAGATCTGATGTGTAGATCAAGTATAGCACTGGTCCTAAAACGCTACCTTGGGGTACGCCAGATGATATTGGGTATAGGTTTGTTAATGCCTCCTGTTGCTTTACAAAGTAGTATCTATGTGTAAGATAGGATCTCAGAATTGCGTACATTTGATGCGGAAGTTTCTGTTTCATTTTGTAGCATAGTCCTGCGTGCCAGACCTTGTCAAAGGCCTGTTCTATGTCAAGGAACACCGCTGTGCAGTAACGTTTTGTTTCGAGATCTCTGTTTATTTGGTTGACTAGTCTATGGACTTGTTCCGTAGTTGCGTGCTTGTTTCTAAATCCGAATTGGTGTTTGGGAATTATGTTTTGATCTTCTATCACTGGTTTTATTCTTTTCAGTAGTAGTTTTTCAAGTACCTTGGATAGTACGGGTATCAGACTTATTGGTCTGTAGGATGTTACTTCTTTCGTGTTTTTCCCGGGTTTGTGCAGCATAATTTGTGATATTTTCCATTGTATTGGGTAGTATTCTACTCTTAACACTGCGTTGAAAATGTCTGTAATTTTTTGGATGCATTTTTCTGCTAATTCTTCCAATATTTTTCCCGTGATTAAGTCGAATCCAGGAGCTTTTTTGGGGTTGATTTCTTTTTTGATGACCGCTTCCACTTCTTTATATTTGAAGTTTCGCATTGGTAGGTTCATCTGATAGGGTGCATCTAGGAAGTTGTTGATTTCGTATTCTTCTTCTTGTGTGGTCTCAGTGTCGAAAGGTTTGAAGACTTTGGAGAGCTATTTGGCGAATGTTGCGGCCTTCCCTTGATTGCTTCTTGCCCAGTTGCCTTCTTCCGTTTTTATTGGTGGTGCTGGCACCTGAGGTCTTTTCAGTCTCCTCGTTGCTTTATACAGTGAGTAATGGGTAGTTTCTGTTGCAGTTAATCCCTTCAGGTACTCCTGGATGGTTTCATTTTTTAGTTTTTTGTAGTAATTTTCTTAATTCTTTGTTTTTTTTTATTGTAGATGCTCTTGTCAGATTCTGTTCTGGTAGTCTGCCATCGTTTTCGTGCTCTTCTCTTTTCTGCGATTTTTTGTTTAACAATAATTGGGCTGTTCTTTTTTATTCCCTTGTCATTTCGATCTGGTGTGGCTTGCCATGCTGCTAGTTGGATTGCCTTGGTTAATCTTTCTACTTCGTCATCTATGTCAGATTCTGTTTTTAGGGGGGTCTCCAGTGTGACTATTTTATCTAATGTTTCCCGAAACAAATTCCAGTTCGTATTCTTGCTATGTAGGGAAGGTTCTTTCGGTTTTTCTAGTATTTGGGCGTACATGGTGACTATGATTGGGGTATGATCAGACGTGAGATCTAGGCTTGATTCCACTAGGAATTTTTTTGTGTTAAGTCCTTTGGTAACACAAAAGTCTAGTATGTCCGGAGTCTTTCTGCTGTCTGTTGGCCAGTATGTGGGTTGTCCTGTTGTTAAGTAGCTTAAGTTGTTGCTGTTCATGGTAGCAAGTAATTCTCTTCCTTTTGAGTTTGTGAGTCTGGAACCCCATTGTACGTTTTTTGAATTAAAGTCTCATCCCACCAGGAAATTGTTGCCCAAAGTTTTAAAGAAATGTTCAAAGTCTTTGTGTTTGTTATTATGCTTTGGCGGGCAGTAGATCGAGGAGATTGTTATTTCGCTTGAATGTTCCTGTACGACTACGCTAGTAGCTTGTATATTTTCTTGTTTGTATCCTTCTTTCTCATAATGCTTGATATTGTTTCTGATCATTACTGCTGTGCCTGCGTGTGCTGTCCCATCAGGGTGATTTGTGTGATATATGTTAAAATTTGGTATTTTTATGTAACTTTTGTTTGTAAAATGTGTTTCTGAGATTAGCATTATGTCTATGTTATTATGTAGTAGGAATATAGACGAAAAATTGAACATACAATTTTGTACAAATGTAATCTGAAGCCTTTCCTACACATCCCGCATTCAATCATTAGCTCGCTCCGTAAACAGAACCTACATCGAAGGTCACGAAAAAATAGCACTTTTTTCAGTGCATCGTGTGTATCCTGTGAGCTGTAATATGCGTACTAGTTTAGTACAACCGTACTCAGAAATCTGAACTCGTGCTGACAGTACAGTCACACTGACACCAGATATACACAGTACCCTGGCAATGTGATGAACACAGTAAGACATATTTCAGAAAACTATGCTCCTGCGTGTCTGTCATTCAGCAATAAAATTACCGCGACAGATGTAGACGCTGCCTGATCCCAATAGTCTCCTCCGCAATAGACCTTTCAAGCGACGAACTGCAGTACACCAGACCGCACAACTGAACCCTCCACGTGCTGGCTGCGGGCGGGGACCAGGTACTCATATCTCTTTCGGAAGACTGCGATTATGTTATACGGCACAAAATAAACAAGCCCAGTCAGTACCTCACAGGAAACAGGCTACGACTCCGCTACATGTTATTTTAGGGGAGGAAAATCGCTGCTTACTATGAGAACCACATGGAGCACGCAAATATATTCTATGAGCAAAATGCAGAGTTTTTATATAACCCGTAAATTTGTCAACATGTACGGTGGCCACAGAAGTTAAAGCAATTTGAAAAAAAAAATGCGGCAGTTTTTGGAAGACAATCCAATCCATATTTTCAGCCCGAAAATCAAATAGTTTTCCAAAAGCACGAAAACCATTGCAAAGAAATGAACCCTTTTCTAGACATTCTCTGAGATGAAGCAATCGAAATATATTTTACCAACAGAATCACTTACTAGAACACACACAGCAATGCTTTTCAGGCACTAGCCGTATTTATTACAAAATAAAAAGACTTTTCAAAATAACTAGATGAAACATATCCTGAACTTAGGTTTATTTGACCTCGCGCACATAAAGTACAATGTATTTGCCATTCTACTAAAGACGAGATTATAAATATTTGAAACCTTATTGCAACAGTTATATAAGTCGTTTTCTAAAAGCCACCCCCCCCCTAATAATGAATGAATGAATACCTCGCTTTCTCACAATAAACACTTGAGCAAGGATGTTGGCATGTCATACTCATCCCTTCTGCTGAATGCGCCTCTTACTTTTGTTTCAAGGAGATGAGCAAACACTGATTCAGGAATATATTCATGATTCCTTCTGAGCACTGTACACTCTGATACGGACAAAGGAACAACACTGTCAGGGGCCAAACTGGTTTATGTTTTGAGGCTGAAGCACTGCCGCATTTAAAATTCATTCTGTACTCATTAATGCGAACTGTTTTCTCCTAGACCATCTTTACGTCAAGTATGTGACGACTTTCGACCTGACCAAACACGACGATGGCCACGTGTACCTCGAACCAAAGGAATATAAGGTACACTTTCAACCGAAGAATGTAAAGGCTCATCTCGGAAACCTATTCAACGGCAACACAGTGTTAGGTAAGCTGAGAACTTGCGCAGGTCCAGACCTCACTGCAGATGTCCGCAGAGGCTGATAATATGTCTGTGTGTTTCAGGGGACATCATGAACCAATTTATCAACGAGAACTGGCGGGAGGTGCTGCAAGAGCTCGGGCAGCCCACGTACGACGCTCTGGGCCTCGTTGTGCACAAGATCCTTAACAATACCATGAGGGTCGTTCCTTACAAAGATCTCTTCGATGACACAGACTGAGCATGTTGCATGGCAGCAGTGCTTACGAGTTCCTCATGCTTTCCCGCCCACTATCTCGACATTTGCCCAGCAACATCTGTGGCTGTAACCCGAACAACATTTAGGAAGTCTGGTGTTGTCGCCAATGAAACACCGCATCTCCAGATGTACGAGTATTTGAAGGAGAAAGCTCTAGATCGCATTAAGTGGAAGAACTGTTTTGGAAGAGACCGTGGACCTGTCGTCTGACAGATTACTGATGAATGAATAAATACTCGTACATCTGGAGATGCGGTGTTTCATTGGAGACAACACCAGACTTCCTAAATGTTGTTCGGGTTACAGTCACAGCAGGGGCGTTCAAACGCAAACGGACACAGCACAGCAGAGAACAAGGACCCACAGGCATCCTGGCTCCTGCGCCTTACGGCCGATTAATCAGAAAATAAATAGAAATACTGGTCTTTAGATGAAACAACTATCTACAGATGGCTCCCGATTATCTCTGGAACAGAGGCAATTTCCTGGAGAGTCCGAAGTTTTGTGCCGTGGAATGAGGAGCGTCTCGGAGTTTGGTGTGTTCAACCTATACATTCGTGTGTATACAAAGGATTCAGTCTGACCGCTCTGCACAACAAAGGACATTCATTTCTGATTTGCACTCGTCCACTGTTGTTCTGCAATTTGTATCCGTATCACTGAACAGAGTGGCCTTACGTATGTGTATTTATACCACATGTAGCAAAGTACTGAATAAAGTTACTCACCCGACTTCTACACTCATTTGCGAGACACGCACAACTGAACCACTCCCAACAAAAGTAAGGATACATTTGGGTTCGGGGTAAATCCTTATGTTCTGGCCGCCACGAATATAAAGGCGAATATCTTCTAGGGTGTGACTCCGTGTTTTCTGGTAGACATTTCCAAACACTAGGGAGGGACGTGCTTCGCATCTTCTTGGCAGAAGAGCAGGGGCTGTGGACTACGAGCGAACCATCTTGAGTGCTTCTGTTTGTTTGTTGTTTAAGGACGCTGTCTGTATCGAGACTGCAAAGCGTCCTTGGTTAGAAGAATTAACGAATATGAAGATGGTGGCATGAGGACTGGCACGGAAAAGCCAACTACTCGGGAACGGTTTCGCAACGCTGTTAACTCTGCATAGTTAGTCTGACCTACAAACCAAAGTCCGTCATGCCTTGGGCGGGCAACATATAAGTTTGTGTGAATTTCTCACGGATTCCAAGTATTTTGAAACCGAAACCAGTAACTGTCTGACGGGGTGCTGATTCACGTGACTATATGGCGGTGCCACACCCTCACTCCCGTGTAGGTGGACTGTTGGATTAGTGCCTACAGTTCAGCCCTTACAACACTGAGACTTTGCTTTATCGCTCATTTCTGAAGAGGGAATGTTCTGAAGGCCTTCACTTTGATCATTTCTATATGCTAACGTGATTTAAACCTCTTATCGAAGATTGTACCGAGGTATTTTTTATGGCTCACGAAGGGGATGTTTGCCCGTTGAGTGAGCCTCAGGCGAGTTATGCCTCAAACAGAAGTATAAGCCACGAGTCTTCTCTTCGTTGCTTTTAATGCTTCAGCGTTTGCACCCGTCTCAACTGGACTGGGACTTCGCTGAAGGTTTCTTCGCAAAGTGTGGGCCCGATAAACGCCTGGTATTTTGGATTAATTGTTTATATTCATAATGTACAGTCATGAGTACAGGACGGATTCTTGAGGCGCCCCTGGTTGTATCTTTCTGCGTGAGACTATTTTACATTCAGCTATAAATTCAAGGACCTCATAAGCTTGAATAAATTCCTCGAAAATTTGAATGTCACTTGTGCAACGAGACAGGGTACTATGTTTACCAGACTACACGGCACCACATCCCTAACAACGGTGTGAGCCCTTCCGGTTCCTCTGCCAGACGAAACTGGGAGCTAAGATTGCAACGTCCGTGCTCCAGTGGGGTTTGAGGCTTCCGCTCGGTCAGTGTGGGAGCGCACACGCCACTTGACAGGACATGCAGAATGCACTCAAGGCCAGCTGCAGCTGACTTGGGTACCAACTGTAAGCTAAACACTACGCCATGAAGGCGTATGGGGGAGTGGATGTACATACCCACGTTATCACTGACCTCGTTATTAGTTTGAGAGGAGTTGTCAGCTTTACCCCTAGGGAAGGAGTCCCTATTAATCTCAAGATAGGAGGCTCACACTGAGGGGCCTAACGGCTGCGCAACGGCTCCACATTGAGGGAGGTGGCCTCGGGCGGCGCTTACCCAGTCCTCTTACATCAAGACCTGCCTTGACTGGAGACCAAGGCTCACACGACTGTCGAGTGTGAAAGGCCTCAAGCTAGGCAACACCACTGCAGCTGGCCTCCTGCAGAGTTGCTTAGTATCAGAATGCCAGACGCTCAGGAACGCGCTGTGCCCACAGGATTGGTAGTTCTTGCTGCATGGATCATAAAGTAACATTCTTAAGGAAAACCCGATTATATGCCTCTATCTTTACAATACTAAAATATTACATCAAAGGGAAACCCGTTTTCATATACGTGATAAGGGGCCGTGAAGCCCTGTATAGTACGTTCTCTTATTACAGTAAAATACTGAAATCGGCCACAAAATACAACGCACGTGCCTGACATAAACCGATATGACAACTTTAACCACCAAACAAACAACTTTAGAATTACGAGCATGTATCTACATTCCAGGTTGGCATTTCTCGTGGCTGCTTAAGGCAGTCCCCTCATAGAAACTACCCTCCTCGGGGCGTGGAGTACCCGCCCCCCGGCGGCAATGTAACAGACTGAAGCTTCTGCTGCGTGTGAGGATCCTCGCGGGATACTCACCGCTCACCTCTGCCCAATTACTGAGGAAGATTTCAATTCTTAGTTTCTCGGGGCAGCCATTCCCTGCAACAATCTTACCGGTCTCCAAAGCACGCAACACAGTAGCTGTTGGTAATTACAGGCCTATTGCATCTCTCAAGGCTTCATCCAAGGGTTACGAAATTTACATTCAAAAAACTACTTTCCCGTTACTTTTAATTTCAAGTTGCATTCTTCTCCACATGATTTTAGCGAGACCAAATCCAGTGCTAAGAAGCTGGCAGGTCACCCTGACGACAAGGTCACTGCCAGTGAGTGACCTCAGGGCCAACCGAGTCCACCTACTCCTCACCTCCTCAGTGCACTTCATGGCCTTCATGTGGGCCCAGCCGCTCTGGACAATCAAATTGCTCCGTATCCAAGTGATCGTGTTGCGTTCCTTTTTCTGCAATTCTTCTTTGCCCTGGTGATCCTCAAGGCTAAAGTGCAGGACCTCTCTTCTTGAATATGTAGGGGAGACCGCGGCTAGTTGTTATAACAATAATACCACTGCACAGTATTACTGATATTGATCTTCAAAGTAGTGTCTTCATGCGGTCACGTAATGATTTTCTAATAAATACTTGCAGTTCCTTAAGATTCTGCTTAATTTTACAACGTGTCCCAGTGCCAGGTATGTTATTACATTACTGTTCTAGAGCAATGAAAATTCACCTTTAAGTTATATTATATTTATTTGATTATTTTAAACGCGTCCAATGTGATTTATACTTGCCTTCTCTTTATTAATAAGTATTGCTGCAGTTAAGTTGACTTGGATAGAGAACTGAAAAGCAGATCCCGGATTTACGAATACTTACTATATACACTGTCCGTGCCATTTTTCAGGGGGTCAGGCGCTTTCCACCGCGGCGGCCCGTGCTCCAGTCCAGGTCACATCATGTGGGATTGTCGTGGACAAAGTGGCACTGGAGCAGGTTTTCTCCGAATACTTCTGTACCCCTGCCAACTCTCATTCCACCGACTGCTCCACATTAATCATCATCATCTATGAACCCTGGGCTGCTAAAATAGGCCAATTAGTGGCCGACGTATGAAGCGGGCTAAATCTCGCCCCGTTAGAAAATCGAGACAAGCGACCATAGCGGTCACCAGAGCTAGAGTTGCGCAGCGGTCGTGTAATGCAGTGGAACCACCTTTCAGGGGCTTGGACACTGAGTAAAGTCTCCCACATTCATCTTCCTCTTCAGAAGAATCAACTCTTCTAACATTCCTTTATAGTTGTTTTGAATAGGCCTTGGCGCGCGGCTCTGCTTCAGCCGGCAATGCGGCCTTTGCTGCAGCATCAGTGAAAACAGCGTCCACCCTCGATTCTGCCTGTGGCTCCCTCAGCAGAGTCCCATGTGCCTCAGGTAGCCTCACTACTATCATCTAAATCAGCGTTTGTAGTGCGGGATTCTGAGAGTTCAAAATTTTTGAGGTGCTATTTCCAAGTGATTGGTCGGTCACAGCAGAAGGCCAGAAGTCCTCGCCGGCCAACTGATCTGTGTTAAACGGCTGTAGTCCTGCTGTCAGAAATCCAGATTTTATCTTCCCTCGGCGTGAGTATCTGACATCAACTGGTTTGCCATAAGTTGCCACTGTTTCCCGAGATGGCCGCATAACCATGTGTCAGACGCGCTGCACAAAAACGACTTTATGTCGCGAGTGGTCTGAAGTTGGAAGGCACGACACTCCGTTTTCCTTGGAAAGCTCAAGATTCTTCGAGACAGACATGACTCACGATAGTCTAGCAGAAGTAGTTTGGGTTTAGTTTTGTAAGCATAAAGTATGCTTCATGAAATGCTCCGTAGACAACAGAATATAATTCCATATCTCCACTCTGGCTTATTGTCATGACCTTTCTATTGCCGAAATATAAATACTGTTCGAAGTGCTGGCAGGCGGTCCGACTCATGGACTGAGTGTCTGCGTGTGAGGGGGGCAAGCTTATGAAGCTCAACAGCAAGGAACAGGATTTCCGTTGTCACTACAGCTCCTTCTGTCGCTCTTTGCAGACGGCAGGAGAGCGCCTGCCGCAAGGATTTAGATCCGGTAAGGTGACACTTCTCTCTGCAAAGTCTGTAGCGCCACAGAATTCACCGGCACGTACTTAGCGCATGTTCTCCTCAGACTGAAGGCTTCAAAAACAACTTCTTTTGACATATCCACATTCGTTTCTTTTCATTCTCCTTTTGTAGTTTCACATATTGGCCACCTGAACAAAATCAGATGGAAATGTAACGGCGAGTCAAGCTGCAACCAACCGCTAGCTAGTCCTTGTTATGCCATTCACAGACAATGAGCAACAAGCACAAGGATATGTCATATAACGTTGAAAGTATTACAGTAAAATACCAGAATTTCAATTTTAACAAACGCCATGAAACACGTTCGACAAAAGTAAATTACCTCGCTGATATAAAAATAATGGCAAATCTATTGGAAGGTAAATAAACACGTTATCTTCTGTCGACACAGGACAACCAACTGCAGAGCAACGATCGAGTGAAGATAGCAAGAGATCTGGTGGCTGGCGGAGGCACTATTGCTGACGGCTGATTGTGTATTTGAATTTAACAACTAGCCCCGGTCTCCCCCACATCAATGATTTGCGTAACAAAACTAAACTTTCTTGTTTTCCTGTTTTCCTGTTTTTGCCGACGATACAAACAACTACTAATGATTGCCTAGTCTTTTATGACGCTCATCGTACGAAGCATAATGCTGGTCAAACAACTTGCCTTTCTCTCCAGACAGTCTAATTATAAACTTGTGCTTCATGCCTCGGGTCCGCCGAGTACACACTGTGCTGAGACCTTGCTGTTGCTCGTGTCCCTTGTATTGTGCTTCTGCTCTTTAAAGGGAGCCTCGCTGTGTTGTGCGTTA